TTTGGGGAGTGAACCAGCAGATGCAAGATATGTCTTCCTCTCTCTCTCTCATTCTCACTGTAACTGCCTTTCAAATACAAATAAATGAATTTGAAAAACCAATGAATTAGTACTTTCCAACAAAGATTGATTTATTTATTTGAAAGTGATAGAAGCAGGTAGGGAGCAAGTGCGTGAGCATCATCAGTGGATTCATTCATCTTCTGTTTGCTGATTCACTCCCCACACAGCTGCAACGGCTGGGCCAGGCCAGAGCAGGAGTTGGGGACTCCGTCAGGGTCTCCCACGAGGCTGGCAGTGGTCCAGGAGCTAGTGCCGTCTTGCACTGCCTTTTCCAGGCCGTTTCCGGGGAGCTGCATGGGACGTGGAGTGGCTGGGACGCTGTCAGTGCTCCGCATTGTAAGTCCCTGACCTCTCCCCGAGCCCCGAGATGAAGCGTGACAGGACTAACACACATGGGTTGTTTTTTTTTGACTAACAACCGCTGGTCATGACTTGCTAACTTGCTTTTTTTTTAAGATTTATTTAATTTTTACTGGACAATCAGATATATAGAGAAGAGGAGAGACAGAGAAGATCTTCCATCCGATAATTCACTCCCCAAGTGACGGCAATAGCTGGAGCTGTGCCAATCTGAAGCCAGGAACCAGGAGTCCCTTCCAGGTCTCCCATGTGGGTGCAGGGTCCTAAGCCTTCTGGCCGTCCTCGACTACTTTCCCAGGCCATAAGCAGGGAGCTGGATGGAAATGGGGCGCTGGGATTAGAACCAGTGCCCATATGGGATCCCCGTGTGTCCAAGACAAGGACTTTAGCTGCTAGCCTGATACACTGGGCCTTTACTAAATTGCTTTTTAAACTGAATTGATTCTGTGACTGTCACAAGCTGTCACATGGGCCAAGAAAGCTGGCTTTGGGGCATAGTGGGTAAAGCTACCAGTGACACTGCCCTGTGGGCTGTAGTTCGAGTCCCAGCTGTTCCACTTCCCATACAGCTCCCTGCTGCTGTGCCTGGGAGAGGTGGCCCTGAGTGCTCGGGCCTCTAAGCCCATGCGACGATTGGGAAGAGCTTGGCCTGGCCCAGTCCTGCTTGTTGGTCCCGTCTGGGTAGAAACCAGTGGATTATTTGTGTTCTCTCTCTCTCTCTGCAACTTTTGCTCTTCAAGTGAATAAAATAAATGTTTAAAAAGAAGAAAACTGGGCCTGGCGTGATGGCCTAGTGGCTAAAGTCCTCACCTTGAACACACATGGATACCATATGGATGCTGGTTCTAATCCCGGCAGCTCCACTTCCCATCCTGCTCCCTGCTTGTGGCCTGGGGAAGCAGTCGAGGATGGCCCAATGTCTTTGAACCCTGCACCTGTGTGGGAAGCTTGGAAGAGCTCCTGGCTCCTGGCTTCGGATCAGCTCAGCACTGGCCGTTGCAGTCACTTGGGAAGTGAATTATCGGACAGAATCACCTGTCTCTCCTCTCTATATGTATGACTCTCCAATAAAAATAAATGAATTTTTTAAAATAGGAAGAAAACCAGGAAAGCGTTGAAACCAGTGAGTTTGCGATGTTACACATTGTTTTCTGCCACAGTTAACAGTGATTCTGAGTGGCAGCTCAGGTCACTAGGGTTGGTGACCAGGGCCTGAGGGGGCCTGTGGAGGCTCGTTACCCTCGGGCTTGGCGAATTAGCAGTCATGTGATATTATCTGCTTGTTAGTAGGTGGTCAGGGCCTAAAGTCAGAGTGCACTGTGTAAGATTTATTAGCAAGGGAAAGTGATGGGGAAAGGCAGAAGGAGCAAGGGAGAATCTTCATCCACTTGTCCCGTCCCCTCCCCCTTTGCCCCAACAGCCAGGGCTGGGCCAGGCTCTGGGTCTCCTACAACAGTGGCTGGGACCCACACATTTGGGCTATCATGTCTTCCCTTTGTAGGTACATATCCTGCTAATGGGAGGTGGAATAGCCAGGGCTGCACTGGTGCTCATGTGGGCTGTTGGTTGTCACTAGTGGTGTAATCCACTGTGCCACACTGTTGGCCCCTATGGTCAGAATGTGAGCCGAGAAGCACGTCAGGTCTGGCGGGGTGCTTTGACCCTGTTCTGAGCAGGGACAGAGGAAGGCAGGTATAGGACAGCAAGGCTCTTAAAGCTGCGTGGCGGTCGCTCTGCACACGGGGCCCGTGGAGCAGGAGACTTGGGGTTGCAGATGGGGCCCAGCGGGGCAGGAAACTTGGGGTGTCACTGTGATCCTGCCCACCCATCTTCCTTGTCATCCGCAGCACCCCCTCTTGGTCCTTGCTTGGCTACCAGAGCGTCCTGTTTGTGTCGCTACTCACATCCTCCCGATTTCATGCCCTGTGACATGCTTGCAGTGTTGAGAAGAGGTTAGGGACCTCACACTTGAGAGTGGCACACCTAAAATTAGATAAGCAGGGGCGGACGCCACAGAGAAGTCAGAGGGGGCGGCGGGCTGGGACGGGGCTGTGTGGGCAGGCGGAGGAAGGGCTGAGCCCTTGCCTTGGGGGGGCTGAGAGGGGATCCTGGATACGCTTGAAGGCACAGTGAGGAGAGTGCTGCTGGTGGTGGGCTGTGTGAGATGACCTGTGACCTCAGCAGGTGAGGTGAGGGCCTGTGGAGGAAGCGGATGCGGTGGCCGTGATGCAGGCAGCTGTTAGGAACATGGAGAAAATTGTGTCCTCAGGCCTGGTGCCTGACCTCCAGCGGTGCTGCCCCCCCCGCCCCCGGCCAGCGTGGGGTGCTCTGTGTCCTCCCCTCCCCTCCCCCCCACCAGCGTGGGGTGCTCTGTGTCTTCCCCTCCCCCCCGCCAGCGTGGGGTGCTCTGTGTCTTCCCCCCCCCCCCCCCCGGCCAGCGTGGGGTGCTCTGTGTCCTTCCCTCCCCTCCCCCCCACCAGCGTGGGGTGCTCTGTGTCCTCCCCTCCCCCCAGCCAGCGTGGGGTGCTCTGTGTCCTCCCCTCCCCCCCCCGCCAGCGTGGGGTGCTCTGTGTCCTCCCCTCCCCCCGGCCAGCGTGGGGTGCTCTGTGTCCTCCCCTCCCCCCCCGGCCAGCGTGGGGTGCTCTGTGTCCTCCCCTCCCCCCCACCAGCGTGGGGTGCTCTGTGTCCTCCCCTCCCCCCCGCCAGCGTGGGGTGCTCTGTGTCCTCCCCTCCCCCCGGCCAGCGTGGGGTGCTCTGTGTCCTCCCCTCCCCCCCGCCAGCGTGGGGTGCTCTGTGTCCTCCCCTCCCCCTCCCCCCCGCCAGCGTGGGGTGCTCTGTGTCCTCCCCTCCCCCCCGCCAGCGTGGGGTGCTCTGTGTCCTCCCCTCCCCCCCGCCAGCGTGGGGTGCTCTGTGTCCTCCCCTCCCCCCCGCCAGCGTGGGGTGCTCTGTGTCCTCCCCTCCCCCCCGGCCAGCGTGGGGTGCTCTGTGTCCTCCCCTCCCCCCCCCGGCCAGCGTGGGGTGCTCTGTGTCCTCCACTTGCCGTGCTGAAGCCTCAGGACCTCGGGACTGTGACTGTGCTTGCGCCAGGAACATTTGAAGAGGTGGTTGAGTTAAAGAAATGGCTAGGGTGGCCCTGGTCTCACATGGCCAGTGGCGTGCGAGGAGAGAGGAAGAGGAGGCAGGCTGACAGGGACAGCGTGTGTGGGTGCAGGGCAATGGAGACTGCCTACTGCGTTCCAGCTCGTTGCTGTCAGCTGCTACACCCACTGGATGGGCCCCTGTGATCTGGGTCCTTGGTCCCATGGCCTGAGCGGGCTCCTTCAGGGACAGACTCCAAAGCTTGGATCGGGGTAGAACAGTGGGGACATCACGCCGGGTTTTCGCTCTTTGCCTGGGATCCGGGCTCTGCTTGGGCCCAGTCCTGCACCTGTGCCCCTGTCATTGGGGTGACCCTGGGTCCCTGTGGGTGCTTCTCTCCCTGCAGGACCTGTCAAGCAGTTGCATTTGTTTTTCAGTTGAACCTCCAGCTTTTGTTGCTAAGTGGAAATCGGAGACTTTTCTTAGTTCTGTGCCCGTGCCAAGGGTGCAGCCCCATTTCCCGCCCACATGTGCTTCAACAGTAACAGTGCTGGCTGGGCTGTGTGCAGGATTAGGCCCTTTGATGGCAGGCCAGCATTAGGTGTGCTGTGGAAGTCATCCCCTTTCAGGACTTGGTGGGAGGGCAGGCGTGGCTTTTCCTGCTGCTCAGGGAGGTGGGCCTGCAATCCAGAGGGAGGGAACTTCGTTGTGAAGGGCGACTGTGCCTGGGGTGGCAAGCTCCTGTCGCTCCCACGTGTCATTGCCGCTGCTCTGAGGAAGCAACGGATGAGCTTGCCTTATTGGAATCTTTGTGTTTCCAGCTGCTGAATTCCATGCAGCTTCCTTGCTTCCTGTGAGTCTGGCAGCTGTACGGGACTGCATTTTCCCCACTGGGGTCCATGGTAGGGACACTTGTTAATGAGATGGCCTGGACAGGCCTTGGGGTCACCTGTGTGACCCTGACTTTTCAATAAAAATAAAATAAATCTTAAAAAATCTATTTACTTATTTTAAAAAAAAATTTAAACAGTCACAGATTGAATTTTTTTTTTTAAGATTTTTTTTTTTTTAATTAAAAGACATATACAGAGAGACGGAGACAGAAAGAATGATCTTTGTCCACTGATTCACTCCCCAAGTGGCTGCAACAGCTAGAGCTCAGTCAATCTGAAGCCAGGAGCTCTTCTGGGTCTCCCACATGGGCACAGGGTCCCGAGGCCCTGGGCTGTCCTCGACTGCTTTCCCAGGCCACAAGCAGGGAGCTGGAATGAAGTTGAGTAGCTGGGACATCATCCGGCGCCTGTATGGGATCCCGGTGTGTGCAAGGCGAGGGTTTAGCTATTGAACAATTACACAGGGCGCTGTTCTGCCTTCAGATACAATACATAGGTTTTGTTAGGAAAAAATACAAGTATATGTATGTATGTATGTATATACTTGAAAGAGTTTCACAGAGAAAAAGAGAGGTCTTCTACCTGCTGGTTTATTCCCCAAGTGGCTGCAGTGACGGGCTGGGCCAGTCCATAGCCAGGCGCATCTTCCCGGATTCGGTGTCTGTGGGTGTATTAGCAGGGAGCTGAGTCAGAAGTGGAGCAGACAGGACAGGAACCTGTTCCTGCTTGCACTTCTGGTGGCTTAATCTGCATAATAGTGTCATAACCCAGCCTGATTTTTTTGTTTTAAAGAGCCAGATAGAAAATATTTTACGTTGTGTGAGACAAGAGGCAGAGCCAAGGCTGTAAGTAGGTGCTTGTATAATGAGAAAACAAAACAAAACACATGTCCCCAGGATTTTTATTGGTGAAATTTGACCGTAGTGTTTTGTAGTAGGTTTCTCTGGCTGATTGTGGGAATCCTGCTGAGAGCAAACATGCTCAAGCAGGGCTCTGAGAGCGTTGCCCCTTGGCCCAGGAGAGCTCCAGGCTGGACCAACCATGTCAGTGCCCTGAGCCCTTGCTGTGGCGATCCCCTGCCTGCCAAGGCGCCCTGCACCCCGCCGTGCCTGCGCTGGGCTGCCCTCCCTGGGACCTGGACCTACTCGTTTTCTAACTTGATGCTGGTGTGAAGGTCACCTGCACCACGCACCGCTTTTGGTTGCCGTGTGGTGCTGTATCAGCCGTACAAGATAGCCTTGCCCTATTACCAAACAGCTCTGTGTGAGGTGATGCCCACGGAGGGCTGCTGGTGTTCTGAGCATGATTAGCAAGCTCTGGGCCAGGCTGGCACAGATGGCTTCATCTGTCACAAGCAACAGAGCACCTGCATTATAGCTGGCAGGTCTGTTTATTGATCTGGCAATACTGATGGTTGTAGTTGGTAATGAGGACGTTGAATTCAAGGGCCCTTCTTATTTGCAAACCCTTCTGGAATATTCTGCATCGTAAGGACATTGACAGCAAATCCAACCTCTTCAGTAAACTAGGAAGTTAGCCCTAAAGAAGCGTGGAGCTTGCTTAGGGGACACTGCTAGCTAGTTCCAAAGTGGTGACTCACGCAGCAGGCCTGGAGCAGACAGGTAGAGGGCTCTTCAAACTGCTGAGCCACAAGGGCCGAGAGCAGCGTGTCTGGACTGTGGCTGCCAGGTCCCCACTGCAGCACCGCTTGTCCCCCTGAAGGGGCAGCCCCCATGCTGTCTGCTGTGTGTCTAGCCCCAGTGTTCAAACTTGCAGGGTGGTCAGGCCTGCCCACCAACACAGGCCTGGACTGCAGTGCGGTCAGCTGCCTGTGGGCACGTGTGTTTATGGGTTTGCGTAGTCTGTGGGTGCTGCCTGCTTCTACAACTTCTCAGGCTGTAAACAGCCTCTGCGGGCCCTGCAGGGGAAGCTGTGGTTTCTGCTCTTCCTGTTCACTCGGGGTTGTCACAGGCCAGCTTGCATCGCGCCATGTTTTCCAGCCAGTTCAGAGGCGAATAGAGAATGCCCGGCCTGCCAGTGGAGGGAAGGAGCCTGGAGCCTTCCAAGCCAGCCCTCGGAGGAGCATCCATGGAGAGGGAGGTGGGTCCAGGCCTACGGGTTGGTGGGGGGCTGGCCGGGTGACGCTCACTCTGTGGCTGGGGTGGGTTTGCTGATGCCTTCTGACCAAGCAGATGTCCTCCGGTTTGCTGTCTGTGGGAAAGTTTCCTGGGGCTACAAAGTCGGGGGAGGGGGAGCAGAGATGGATTCCAAGTGTGAATTGGGCACCGGAAGAGCCCCTGAGACTGGCAGGGCTCTGGCCTGGAATCTGCCCACATGCAGGGTCCCCCGTGGGCAGCCTACCGCCCCTGCCTCTGTGGTGTGTGGGTGCAGATGAGACAGGCAACGACGGCAGCTCCTATCCCTCGGGATGTACCTGTCCTGAGGCGTGGCTTGCTGTGGCCCTGCTGGAGTCCCTGGGAGCCTTCTGGGACACGGTCTTGCCAACGGCTCATCTGTACAGCTGCAGGGCCTGGGCTGCTGCTGGCAGGGGCTGCGGTGCCTCCGACAGGCACCGTGGTGCTGCGTGGCCCTCTGTAGAGACGTCCCCTGCCCCATGCTGCTGAAGCTTCAGCCCCACCGAGCGCTTCTCTCAGACATGCCTGCCGAGTTGAGGGTGGTCTCCTGTGGTCCATGTAGGGCCTGGTATCATTGGTCTCTTTGTTGAAAGAGTTCAGAGTGAAATCTTCCACTGTTTTACTCTCTGCATGGCTGCAACAGCCAGGGCTGGGTTAGGCCTGTTTCTACAAGTGACAGGTCTGCTATGTGCATGCAGGTCCCAAGAACTTGAGCCATCTTCTGCTTCTTTCCCAGACCGTTAGCAGGGAGCTGGCCGGATAGGAAGTGGAGCAGCCAGGACTTGCCCTGTGGAAAGCTGGTGTTGCAGGCTGCAGTTTTGTAGTGCTGGCTCATGTCCTCCCCCACCCCCCTTTTTTTATTGGAAAGGCAAACATTCAGAGAGGAAGATCTTCCATCCGATGGTTCCCTCCCCAAGTAGCTACAACAGCTGGAGCTGAGCCGAAGCCAGGAACCTCCTCCGGGTCTCCCATGCAGGTGCAGGGTCCCAAGGCTTTGGGACCATTCTTGACTGCTTTCTCAGGCCACAAGCAAGGAGCTGGATGGGAAATGGGTATGCTGGGATTAGAACTGGCGCCCATATGGGATCAAGGTGCATTCAAAGCGAGGCGTTTAACCGCTAGGCTATCGCACCAGGCTTCCATGTTCCCCCCTTTTGATGGACCTACCTGGGGCAGGGGTGCTGGTCCTTTGGCCCTCACTGCCTCAGCATTCAGCACTTGGTGCCCGGTGGATGCCTCTGAGACGCTGTCTGAAGTTTGGATTCAGGGCACGCTGGGCACTCCCTTTAAACAAAAGCTGAAGCTGTTTCCATGACGGCAAGACCCATCTGCAGCCAGTGGTTCGAGACACGAGACACACGGGGCTGTGCACTCGCAGGTGTACTGGAGACCAGCTCCTGGGGTTCTTCCTTCTGGGACCCCCATCACTGTCTCCAGGTTGATTAGCTTGATGTTTGCAGCTCCTGCCCCTCCTCTCCCAGTCCCTGCTGTATGTAAGCTTGTAGCAGACTGGACGCCCACTGCCTCACTGCTTAGGACCAGAGACGTCTCCACTTGGGGATTTTTTTCTTCTTAATTTGGATTGCTGGCATATACATATGTGGTATCTTGGGCATGGGACACAACTCTAAGAAATTCTACATGTGTTTCACAAGCACCATAGATGCTCGGCCTGGAGGTCATTGCATGCCATGTTTTTTGCCCGTGTTCTGCCCAGCACTTGTCCTGGGGGTCAGGTTGGCAGTTTTCGTGGTGACATGTTAGAGTGTGAAGGTTCCAGGGTTTAGGCCTGTACCTGTGGAGCCAGGGCTTGCGTCCTCAGCCCTGGCTGGCTGTGTTTGTCTTGTGCCCAGCTCCTGTCACTCCACTCTTGTTTCGCTTTTCCTGCTTGACTGCCATCCTGAGGGGCAGGGACTGCCTCTCCTATACCCACAGCACAAGGCTTGGCCCCTGGCAGGCAGTGTGCTGGCTGCTGGGGTTGGAGCGGGCTGAGAAGCAGTCATGGGGCTGTCCCAGTTTCTTTGCCCTGCTGGAGCCCAGCAGACGCAGTCTAGCCATGCCTGCTGCCGACTGCAGGGCCTCTGCGTTCACAGCGGAGGATTTGGGTCCTTCCTGGCATGGACTGCAATTCTGTGTACAGTCTATAATTGCATGAGCTACCCATCCATGGTGAAATGACAGTGTGAGCTGCCTGTGGGTTTGTGGGCCCGTTGTTTTGGCTGGTGTGGCTTCTTGGTGAGAATGGGTTTTGTAAGTCTCTGGCTCGGGGCTGCCTTCCTGTTGCTCCCATGTGTGCATGAGTAACTCGGGCACCTAACAAGCCGACCAGGCCATGCCACCTGCTTGCGCCACTGGTGTCAGGGCTGAGCTGTTGCCCTGCCCTGGGGTTGGGGTTGAGGTATGCAAGCAGGTGCTCAGGGACCGCCTTTTGCTGTGTCCCAGCTGAGACGCTCCCTGGGGAGCAGGGATGTCTCCCGAAGGCCAGGCTGCTGCTCTCTGTGCTCCAGGTGGAGGGGGACTGCTTTGGAAGGGGGACTGTACCAGGTGGGGGGAACTGTCCCAGGTTGGGGGGACTGTCCCAGGTGCAGGGAGTCTGCTTCAGGTGGATGGGGCTGTCCCAAGTTGGAGTTCTGCTTCAGGTGGGGGGCATCTCCCAGGTGGGGAATCTGTCCCATGTTGGGGGGCTGTGCACATGTGTCTGCCAGAGGGTGTCATGTGTTGCTCAGAACTTGAGCCGGGTCACTTTCCCTGCCTCTGGGGCAGCAGCAGGTGTCCCGAACCTGGATAGAGGTGGTGTGAGCTCAGCCCACCAGCTTGTGAAGGATGGGATGGCCCAGCCCATGCTGGAGTGGAGCACGAGGTCAATGGTCCATAGAGGACCCTAGGCTACAGGAGCCCTGGGAGCGGGTGATGAGTGATGGAACCACATAGCCAGGCTCCCACCGCGAGGACCTGGGCTGTGGCCTGGCTTGGGGCCGCGGAGTGGGTGGCAGATCAGTGGGATGACACCCAGGCAACAGAGCTGAGGCTTTGGGCTACAGAGTGGATCTAGGAGCAGGGCTACTGGCCCTCGGCTGTCAGGGAGCAGCAGGGCAGACATGTTGGGGTTCACTTTGTGAGGGCTGTTTGTGTATTGACCCTCACTACTGACCTGTCGGTGGGCTCACGGGCTCATGAGGCCACATGCTTATGGAGTGCTGGGAACTTGCTTGGCACCCGTGGTCCTGGACGGCTGTCCCAGGCTCCAGGTGTCCATGTGTGCAGACAGTGGCTTTGGCAAGGTGTGCCCAGGTTCCAGGATGCCAGCAGGCATTGGCTTTGGCCTTGCTTTGGCCTCCCGTATGCAGAGAGCTTCTGGTAGGAGGGCAGGCGACCGCGCGTCCTGGATTGGTGGGTTTCTGAGTGTTGGATGCAGGGGCTAGCCACAGTGGTGGAGAGCTGCAGCGGAGGCCACAGCGCTGGGCTGCACGGCATGGCTGCCAAGGCTGCGTACTGGGTGTGTGTTGCTGGGATAACAGGACAGGAACGAGGCAGCATCCAGCAGGTCTCAGAAGCAGGGCCAGACCTTGGGCGTTACTGTGTCTGCCTGCTCTGTCCGGCTCTCTTTTGTTCTCAATTTACTTTGATTTTGGGGTTAGCCCCCAGAGCCCTGGATAGAGGGAAGTATTGGGCACGAGCCTGGCTGCTGGGTACCTGGTATGGCCATACCTCCTTGCCACCTTCTCCATGGCCTGAGGCCAGGCGGAGTGTGGAGTGACACCAATTTCCCGCTGGAGGGAATCTCCTCCTTCCGGTCTGTTTTTGCAAGAGAAGGTTACCCCCTTCCCGGGTGCAGGAGCAGGTGAGGTACACCCTGCCTGGCCCCAGGACTCGGGCCATTGTTTGCATGGGGACTGCGATCACACTTGGGCTACTTCCATGTCAGCGTCTAAGTAATGAACTCCACCTGCCACTCCTGCCTGCAGCCTGGAATTGTGTCGCCATTTAAGCGAGTTTTCCTGAAAGGTGAGAAGAGTCGAGACAAGAAAGCTCACGAGAAGGTGACCGAGAGGCGGCCGCTGCACACAGTGGTGCTGGCCCTGCCGGAACGTGTGGAGCCAGACAGACTGCTGAGCGACTACATCGAAAAGGAAGTGAAGGTGAGTTGCCAGGGCGCCTGCTTTGGCCGTCCCCACGACACTGCATCTGTGACCTGCTTGCTCTCGTAGGTACGGTTGTGTGCCAGCAGCAGCTGTGTGTGAGCAGCGGCTGTGCCAGCAGAGGTGGTTGGTGGGTGGGGCACTGGGGCCATGGTATGTTGAGTGGACTTGCAGTCCTGCTCTGGAAATAAGAGTGAATGAATGCCACCCTGGTCAGAGTGGGCATGAGGTCCAGTGAGGTGGTTGCACCTGAGCTTGGCTGAAGGCATGGGCAGCTTGGATGCCTGCATGGGTCATTCTGCCGCCACCTGCCGGCCTAGCCACAGAACAGCAAATGCAGCTGCGCCTCTAGGCCAATGGTGAGCACCCCTGCTGACCCCATGGGGACTGGGCACAGACCTGGCCATGCTCACTCTAGGTTCCACCACCATGCACGCCCTAGAGGAAGACTTGCAACCCCAGGCAGAGCCCAGTGGTGCCATGGTGCAGAGTAGCAGTGTGGGGCCCGGCGCGATAGCCTAGCAGTTGAAGTCCTCACCTTGAACGCACGGGGATCCCATATAGGTGCTGGTTCTACTCTCGGCAGCCCTGCTTCCCATCCAGCTCCCTGGGAAAACAGTTGAGGATGGCCCAGGGTTTAGGACCCTGTACCTGTGTGGGAGACCCAGAGGAGGCTCCTGACTTGTGGCTTTGGATTGGCTCTGCTCCTTGTGGCTGCTTGGGGAGTGAGCCATCATGCAGAGGATCTTCCTCTCTGTCTCTCCTCCTCTCTGTGCATCTGCCTTTCCAATAATAAATAAATCAATCTTTTAAAAAAGAAAAAAGTAGCAATGTGGACAGTGGGGGGTGGAGAGCACCCCATCCACCCCATTCCCCAGGTGGGGCTGAGCCACCACTGTGCTACGTGGCCACCAGGGCGCTCCCTGGGGATTGGACGTGTTCATTTGAGTTGGTCCTTTTCTTCTTTTCTTTTTTCTTTTCTTTTTTTTTTTTAAGATTTATTTTGCTTTTATTGGAAAGGCAGATACAGAGAGGAGGACATAAAGGAAGATCTTCCGTCCAGTGATTCACTCCCCAGGTGACTGCAACGGCTGGTGCTGCTGAGCCGATCCGAAGCCAGGAGCCTCTTCTGGGTCTCCCTTGTGGGTGCAGGGTCCCAAAGCTTTGGGCCGTCCTCGACTGCTTTCCCAGGCCACAAGCAGAGAGCTGGATGGGAAGTGCAGCTGCCAGGATTAGAACCAGTGCCCGTATGGGATGTTGGTGCATTCAAAGCGAGGACTTTACCAGCTAGGCCACTGCACCAAACCCATAAATATATTTTTTTAATATTTATTTATTTTTATTGGAAAGTCATATTTACAGAGTGAAAGAGAGACAGAAAGATCTTCCATTTTCTGGTTTACTCCCCAAGTAGCTGCAAGGGCCAGAGCTGAGCCAATCCAAAGCCAGGAGCCTGGAGCTTCTTCCGGGTTTTCTGCGTGGGGGCAGGATCCCAAGGCTTTGGGCCATCTTCCACTGCTTTCCCAGGCCACACGCAGGGAGTAGGATGGGAAACAGAGCAGCTGGGACACAACCGGCGCCCATAAGGATTCCTGGTCACTGGGCCCTCCCTCCCTTCCTTCCCTTTCTTTTTTTTCTTCCTTTTCTTTTTAAAGATTAATTTACTTTTATCTGAAAGTCAGAGTTACAGAGAGAGAGGGAGAGAGTGGTATTCCATATGCTGATTTACTGCCCAAATGGCCACAGTGACTGGAGAGCTGGGCCCATCTAAAGCCAGGAGTCAGGAGCTTCTTCTGGGTCTCCTATGGAGATGCAGGGACAAAGGACCTGGGTCATCCTCTGCTGCTCTCCCAGGCCCATTAACAGTGGCTAGATTGGAAATGGAGCAGCTGGGACTCAAGCCAATACCCCTAAGGGATGGGACATTGACTTTACCCACTGTGCCATGGCACTTGGCCCCTGTCCGTTTCTTAAGTCCCCGCATGCAGCTGAGATCCAGTCTGGCCACTGTGCTCCTGGCACGTATCCCGGGGCAATGCAAGTTTATGTTTGGGCCCAGCATGGTAGCCTAGTGGGTAATGTTCTCACCTTGCATGCACCAGGATCTCATATGGACATCAGTTCCCTGCTGCTTGATTTCCCTTCCAGCTCCCTGCTTGTGGCCTGGGAAAGCAGTCAAGGATGGCCCAAAGCCTTGAGACCCTGCATCTACCTGCATGGGAGACCTGAAAGAAGCTCCTGGCTTCGGATCGGCTCAGCTCTGGCTGTTGTGACTGCTTGGGGAGTGAAGCAGTGGGTGCAAGAATCTGTCTGTCTCCTTCTTTCTGTAAATCTGACTTTCCAATAAAAATAAACAAATCTTGAAAAAAAAGTTTATGTTCCCATGAGAAGCTATTGGTGACCATTCAGACCCATTTCATTCATAATAGCCCCCCAGTCTGAAGCTGCGAACAGTCCAGTCTCTTTCGGTAGGTGAGGGGTTCGACCAGGACAGCGCCTCCGTCCTCATGTGGGGAGATTGGCTTGAGGCAGGGAGCCAGGCCAAGCAGAACCTTCTGATCCGGAAAGGTGGTACAGAGCAGGATTCTGCTAATACGGTGTCATTGAAACGCACGGTCCCTGAGACGGGATGGCCTGGGCTTTGCTGGGCCGCAGGGAGTAGTTGTGCCTATAAAGCAGTGGGATCTTGGTGGTGACAGCTCCGAGGCTGTGTCCCGTGTGCTGTGCTGCAAGTGACCGTGGGATGCTGGCGATGAGTGCAAGGGGTTCTCTGTGTAACTTCTCACAACAGCATGCAAATGTACCGTGGTCTAGGAATGCAAAGTTTTCAACATAAAGAAATGAAACATTGGGCCCGGCTCAGTGGCTTAGTGGCTGAAGTCCTCACCTTGAATGCTCCGGGATTCTATATGGTCACTGGTTCTAGTCCCAGCAGCCCTGCTTCCCATCCATCTCCCTGCCAGTGACCTGGGAAAGCAGTCGAGGACGGCCCAAAGCCTTAGGACCCTGCACCTGTGTGGGAAACCCAGATGAGCTCCTGGCTCCTGACTTCAGATCGGCTCAGCAGCAGTTGTTGTGGTCTCTTGGGAAGTGAATCATTGTATGGAAGATCTTCCTCTCTGTCTCTCCTCCTCTGTGTATATCTGCTGTTCCAATAAAAATAAATAAATCTAAAAAAAGAAAAAAGAAATTACCACCCTGAAAAAACTAATCCTCCCTTTAAAAAAAAAAAAAAGAAATGGCAGATTGAACATGAGCGGAGTGTGCCTTTTGTTGGTGCTCCACCCAGCAGCGACACCAGCAGTGACAAGGAGCGTGTCTGCCAGAGCGTGCCCCTTAAGGAGGTAACAGGCTCAGCTGCTAGGGAGAGGGAGGGAGTGCTGACACGCCCGGGGCCGGTGGGCGGCGCCGTCAGTGGGTGAGCCCGCAGTAGCCACATACGCCTGTCATTCAGTAACTGGGTCCTGCATGCAGAGGCCCTGACTCGACAAGGCAGCCTCTGTGGGCGGACTGGGCTGTGCTGGTCAGGATGGGAGATTCTTGGTTTGCCCTATTTGTGTTTTTCTGGATTGTTTGCCAATTGGAACTGTATGTATTTTTGGCATTTATGAACAGTAGAAACAAAAATAACCTGCCAGTGTGGAGGAAGCATTTAGTTCCACGTCATCTAGGTGGTTCTGCAAGGTGCAGTCAGATAACAGACCTGGGAGGAGCGTAGGCGTGGCTGCTGTGTGCAGCGGCCTTGCATCCACGTCACGTGCTCTCCGCGGAAGGCTCCCCTACTCCTGCCTGTAGGATTCCATGTCTGGCATGTGACATGTCTAGAAGTTGCTGTTTACGTTCTTGCCTTCTGCATCTGTGCCTCAGCCCGCCTGGCTCTGTAGGTGGAGCCTACTGTTAGTTTTGGGGTAAATCGCATCATTGCTGCTCCTGGTATTTCTTCTGCTTCTTTCGAGGCTCCCACTGCACAGACACGACACCACTAGCTGGGTTCCACGTGTGCGCAGGCTGTTCCTCCCTGCTTTTCTGCATAGGACCTTCTGTCAGCCCTCCTCAGGCTTGCCTGTGCCCTCCGATGATGAGCCCGTAAGAGGTGGCCTCTGTTTCTGTAGTGCTTGCTCTCGGTGCATCATGTGCTGTTACCCATCGGCTCCAATGTGGTGTCCGTGCCTCCGTTGCAGCCCTTGTCACGGTCTCAGGTTCCCCAGTCGGGTCACTCCTGAGGGCCCGGTTCTGCTGCAAGTGGCCGTGATGCCGTGGGGATGCGATTCCGGGGTGCCGTGGGGACGGGATGCCGTGGGGATGTGGGGACGTGGGGACGTGATGCCGGGATGCCATGGGGACGTGGGGACGTGGATGTTGCCCATCAGGATGGGCCCTGGGTCCATCCATGCAGCTGTGGACATCAGAGGCTGCGTGTTCTTCACCCTGGGGCCTAGTGAGTTTTGGCTCATTGCCAGCTCCTGTGCCTCCCCCACTCCTGGGGAGTGGTGGCCCTGGGCACCAGCCGACTTGGGGCTGTGGTTTCTTGTGCACCTGGCAGCGCCGGGTGGCTCTCAGGACAGTTAGTTGTTCAGGGCGTGAAGCCTCAGGTCCTTTCCATGGCTTTACCCTCTTCAGATGGGGAGCCGGAGAGTGAGCTGGTGTGAGGCTGAGGTGTGGACGTGTGCACTGATCTGTCAGGAGTGCGCTCAGAAGGCACTGCGGTAGCGGGGAGCCTGTTGCAGACGACCCGCTCTGACCATGTATTCCAGGAAGCTCAGTCCGTCTGTGAGGGCCTGGAGGCCAGGACACAGTGGCTGGCATGTGGCTCGGCTCTTCTCTGTATGTTACTTGCAGTGGGAGGCAGCGGGAGGTGGGAAAGGGTGGCAGAGTCAGGGGGCCAAACTGTGCACAGCCCATTTGAAGGAAGTTCCTCCACAGTAGCCAGCTGTTTCCCAGGGGACGGCACTGACCTGCTGGTGCTGGGCGCTGGGGACGTCTGCAACACGAGGGTCCTGGATGGGCTGCACTCACAGCACGGCCCCTCGTTTCTCAGCCCTGCTGACCTTTGCCATTCACGGCCTGTTTAGTTTTAGTTTTTATATTTACTTATTGGAAAGGCAGAAGAGTGAGTCAGAGAGTGCATCCCCTCACTGGTGGGCTACCCACATGTCTGCAGAGGCTGGGGTCAGGTCAGGCTGAAACCAGCTGTCCCAGGTGTGTACCCCTCCCAGTGGTACATTAGCAAGAAGCTGGGCCAGGGGTGAACCTGGGCGTTCCCAGAGGCGGGCGCATCGTAACCGTAGGGCTGGACACCGAGATCTGGGGCTCTGCATGAGCCATTGTGTCTGGTTCCCTAGCAGTAACCAGCAGATACCCACTGGCCCTTCCTTGAGTCATTTCTGCTCACAGGGAAGGGGAGCCCACCCCAGCCAGGGGCCTCACTGAGAGCCTGGTGGCCGGGTCGAGGCTGTGGGTGCAAGCTCTGCTGCTCTGACTCTTTATTCTTCCTCTTTCTGTCAGTACTTAGGCCAGTTAACGTCCATCCCCGGGTACCTGAATCCCTCTAGCCGGACAGAAATCCTGCATTTCATAGACAACGCAAAGGTAACTCATGCTCTTTGGGGGCTCCCGCTGGGCCTGCCCCAGCCCCACCCTTCACCTGGCTGGGTGCCCGGTGGGTGACCTGGGGCATCACGCAATGCGTGTGCTTGGCTCTTGGCATGCAGTCTGCGCCTTGGGCTCCACGCTGGCATCATTCTTCCCATCCTGGAAGCTGTGGGCTGTTTGCAGAATGCATGCCCTCAAGGTGTTCCCTGCAGGAGCAGTGCTGTGCTAAGGGGAGCAGCACTCCCTCGCTTCCATGCGCTGTGGTTGTGGGGTGATACAGCCCACGGGGGGCCTGGCAGTTCTAACACCTGTGGTCCCATGCAGCGAGCCCACCAGCTCCCTGGGCACCTGACGCCGGAGCATGATGCCGTGCTCAGCCTGTCGGCCTACAACGTCAAGCTGACCTGGAGGGACGGTGAGGATATCATCCTCAGGGTGCCCATCCATGACATCGCTGCCGTCTCCTACGTCCGGGATGACGCCGCACACCTCGTGGTCCTGAAGACAGGTAGGGCCTGGGCACCCTTGGCCGGGGATGATGATGGTCACTGGTGCTGGCAGCCATGACTGTTGTGCCCGGGGATTGACCCTCCAGTGTGTGAGGTCACCAGGCCTTGGGGACTGGGTGAGGGCCAGTGTCTGAGCAGCCAACATCCTGACTGCCCGGAGGGGTGTGAGGACATACCCTTGTGTCCTTGTGTTGGGGACCTTGCTGAGTAGGGGTTACAGGGTCCCACACGCACCTGCTCAGGTCCTACCCAGAGAACATGGAGAGACACAAGGCATCTGGGTCTGCAGCTGGCAGTGTGCATGGTTGAGTGCCCACACAGCAGAGCTTTCTGTGTTGGCTTGCTGCTACCTGACTCTGGAACCACCCTGGCAAGAGCCAGGAGCTGCGTCCTGTAGGCAGAGAAATAAGTGAAATCACGTAGTGTCACCATCATCAGTATGTGAGTTAGTGAGCCAGCCCTGCGTCTGGCTGACATGTTACACGTCCGTCTGGGACCCCTGGCTGTTGAGGCCTCGGGAAGCTCCGGAGGCAGCCCCTGTCAGAGCAGCAGGTATAGCACTTGCTCGCGCTGGTCGTCGCCGGCAGCTGTGTCGGGACCCGTTCTGGCTGCCTCTTCTCCCAAGGGTGCATGCCAGATCCCCCAGGCCACATTGGCAATGCTGCCGCTCTCGCTAGTGGGGCCAGCCACTAGGTGCTGTCTGTGGGAAGGGCATGTCTTGGGCCTCCCACGTTGAGGCTGCTGTCCTGCACCCACACTGTCCTTGGAGAAGTGCCAGGAGGACCCAGGCCACCAGTAGATGTGCAGTATGGTTTTGAGCTGGGACGGGGTGGGTGGGGATGCTTGCCTGCCCTTGAATTTTCTTTTTGTAGAGATGTATCTATCTATATATTTATTTTGGAAGTCAGAGTTACAGAGAGAGAAGGAGAGACGGATTTCTCTCTGCTGCTTCACTTCCCACATGGCTACAACAGCCAGCACTAGGGCAGGCTGGAGCCAGGAGCTTCATATGGTTCTCCCTGCTGGAGATCTCTCTGGTCATCTGCTGCTTCCCCAGGCTATTAGCAGGAAGCTGCATTGGAAGTGGAACAACTGGGACATGAACCAGTGCCCATATGCAATGCTGGCACTGAAGGCAGAGGCCTAGCCCGATATGCCATGGCATCGGCCTCTCCTGTCCTTGTTTAGGGGTACATGGGGTACAGGCCCATTGCCCGTGTCTTGAGCCTCTACCCCCCAGAGCAGGTGACCTGCATGGCTAGAGCTGTGTGGGCCCTTGCTCTGCCTCACTTCACATGCTAACCTGCATGGTGTTGACTTCTCAGCCCAGGACCCTGGCATCTCTCCCAGCCAGAGTCTGTCTGCAGAAAGTTCCCGAGGCCTCAGTGCAGGATCCCTATCCGAGAGCGCCGTGGGGCCCGTGGAGGCCTGCTGTCTGGTCATCCTGGCTGCTGAGAGCAAGGTGAGCAAGGGCCACTCGGAGCCAGACCTGGCCGCAAGACCCTGCCCCACCTGGGCAGTGACCTGTGTCTGGAACCTGCCCAGGGCTGAAGGAGCTGGAAGCTTGTGGCTTAGGGTCTGGGCTCCCCTCGGCACCTTGGGGAGCCCCCTTGCACCTCTCATGCAGTGTCTGTTCCAGTCTCTGGAAGGTAGTGACCGGCACCCTGCATGGCCTATGCTCAGCCCCGCGCAGCCCAGGAACTGCAGATCCTTTCAGGAGATGATGCCGTCATTAGGGCTGCCGTGTGTTAGGGCAGTGTCCTTGGCTGTCCCTGGTCACTGCTGCATGCACCCTGGCTGGTGTGGATCAGCCCAGCAGGGAGCCTGTGCTGCGAACATGTGCCAGTTTGGACTACCCAACAGCCACTAGGTGTTCCCAGGTGACTATGCTGCTGATGGAGTCCATGGAGCCATTAGTCACCTTGCCCAGAGCACATGCATGTCCAAGGCTGCTCCTGGGATGTGGCCCACGTGGCTAGTCTCCTGCCTTGGCCAGACCAATCCAAGTGACTGCCCCTTGCCCTGCCCCGCTCTGTAGGTGGCTGCGGAAGAGCTGTGTGCCCTGCTTGGCCAGACCAATCCAAGTGACTGCCCCTTGCCCTGCCCCACTCTGTAGGCGGCTGCGGAAGAGCTGTGCGCCCTGCTCGGCCAGGTCTTCCAGATCGTTTACACGGAGTCTACCATTGACTTTCTGGACAGAGCCATCTTCGACGGGGCCTCCACCCCCACCCGCCACCTGTCGCTGCACAGTGGTATGTCTAGAGTGTGGGCAGCCAGCAGGACGGGTGGTGTGCGGTGCAGTGAGCTGTGCCTTGGCTGCCTCTCCCCCAGGTTGCTGAACATAACCGCCAAGGCAGCATGGGGTTCTCCTGATTGACGACCTGGCCGTGGGTGCTGCAGCCCCGGGCTCCAGGCTGTGGCCTGGCACTGAGGAAACCGAGTGTGCTCTGGGAACCTCTGTGGCAACAGGCCTGGGCTCTGGCTGCCATCATCTGTGGGCAGAAAGTCCTCCTTGGCACAGACGTCAGTGCTGGCTCGAGGTTAGGCTTGTCAGCACCGACAGCAAATGGCCCAGAGCTCCTGACAGTGGACCCAGCTGGCAGCAGGTCTTGGGGCACGCGTGCGCCCACTGCCAGTGCTGCCCCAGGGCTTCCTGCCCCTGTGGGAGCCCTGTGTGCACCTGCTGTGCTCCCATGATGTCAGGAAGGAGCAGTGTTGCTGGATGCCCAGGCACGTCTGGTGTCTGTTGGTCCTTTGTGGCTGCTCCCTCCATCCCTGTTTTAGCAACTGGCAGTTGTGGCTGTGAGGTCGGCTTGTCCATAGGAACCCTGCTCTGAGCCATGGGTGGCCTTGTGGCCAGACGTGGTCAGCATGGGTGTGGTGTGCTAGGTTCAACTCTGTGCATTGGTGTCCCATTGGGAGTTTGTCCTTCCAGACTGCATGAAGCCTGCAATCTCCCAGGCATAGCCCCCATTGGAAGCTGCCTGCCCCTCTGGCCTTCCTGTGGTTGCGTGTTCCATGGGCAGGCCACCACTGCTTCGCGTTGTTGTGACAGCTGCCACATAGCTCCCAAAGCTCAGTGAACACAGCAGCGCAAGCCGCCCTGGGCTGTAGTCAAGCCATCACCTACACTGGAGGTCACTTGCCGAGTGTCAGCTGTGTGCTGCTCCATGCCATTCCCTTTGCTGGTCGGAGGGTCTCAGGGATTCTGGGATGCTGACCATGTGGCCCCACGGGGGCCTCCGCTGTGCTGCAGAACTTCTATAGGGTCAGGGAGGACACGGCTTGGGCAGAGGCCCCAAGGCTCTACCGGCACTTGATCCACACCCCCAGGGGTGGCTGCTGTTCTTGGCCATGGGGGTCCTCTGTGGGTGAGTGTGGCCTCAGGTCTGGCAGTGCTGTCCTAGACAAACACAGCATGCTCCAAGGCCTGGACCAGTTCCCAGAGGTCAAGTGCCCGCTGAAGGCTAGGCAGCTGAGCTGGCAGTGCCACAACATGGCTGAGGGCTGGCTTTATTTCCTGGGCTGTGCACAGATGACTCTTCCACCAAAGTGGACCTGAAGGAACCCTACGAGGCAGAGAGCAGCACCTTGTGAGTATGCGTGTCCTGGACCCACGCTGGCACGGCCTCCCGGGCTCTGCCTTGTTGAGCCAGTGCCCTGGCTCTTTCCCCAGCATGTGCCCTTTGCATGCTCTTCCCCAGCACAGAGCCCCTTGGGGAGCCACACCCTGGGGTCTTGGGAGCAGACCCGCTCTCCCATGCCATCAAGGCATGCCCACGTTTCTCCCCACAAGGGCAGGGAGCAGCTGAGCTCCTGGGGGGGCTGCAAGGGGCAGGAAGCCCCTGCTAAGGTGCCAGTTCTTGCACAGCTGCTTCCTGGACTCTGCAGACACCGGGAGCCTACCGCCCCTGTCCTTCTGCGTGCCGGCCCTGCCACATGGCACGGTGGCCAGCGAAAGCGAGCTGAGCACCAGTGCCACAGAGCTGTTGCAGGACTATATGCTGACGGTAAGTGGGCTGTCACGGTCTGGGGAGCCGCCTTCCCAGGGCCCCCACTCTCATCCCACTTCCTGGGTCCTGGACCTGCAGCCCCAAGGCGGGCAGCTCATGAAAGCACTTCTGTCCCTGCTCCTCTCGGCAGCTGCGCACCAAGCTGTCATCACAGGAAATCCAGCAGTTCGCGGCACTGCTGCATGAGTACCGCCACGGTGCCTCTGTGCATGAGTTCTGCATCAGCCTGCGGCAGCTCTACGGCGACAGCCGCAAGTTCCTGCTGCTTGGTGAGCCCTGGCTGTGGGAGCAGAGTGGGCGGGCCCTGGGAGAAGCGGGGATGCTCTCCTGGGAGGTAGTGCTCAGGGGTGTCTGGGCATGTGTGCAGAAGCTGGCAGGGCAGGGTTTGGGGGACAGACCATACCTGGTATAGGGAGCAGAGAGGCCGTGGGCTGGGCGGCCAGGGCCCAAGTGGACAGCTTGGATCAGTCCCCAGTGTCTGCCCCACACCTGGCAGGTGCGATATAGTGTGAGTTTCCTGTTGCTGGTAGTAAGTCCTGGGGTCCTGGGCCTGTGCCCCCAACAAGCTAGAGTTGTTACCTGTATTACCCTTGTACCAGCTTCTCCAGCCACCTGCTCGAGGTTCCGTGACAGGCAGGCTGAAAGCCAGAGGCTAGGCCTACTGGCCTCATCTTGGCCTGTCCTCCGCAGCATTGGGTACTGAGGGTTGTGTAGGGTCTCTCTCATTTTGCTCTCAGATGGACACCTAATGCCCCTGGTGGGTTGGGGCTGAGCCGTGAGCTAGGCAGCACATCTGTACCCCAGGCTTGGTCTAGGCAGTACACCTTTCCATGGGGCCTCCCCTGCCCACAGAGGGAATGGAAGTTCTGGGATGCTGAGCCTCTTGCACAGGGTAGGCCTTGGGCTGGGACACTGGCCCCTTGTGGCCAGGTGCTAGCAGGCGCTCTCATCCTTGGCTCCAAAGACAGTGCAGGATGACCAAGCACCAGGACAACCATGGATGTGGTGGCTGGGCACCTGCCAGAGTTGGGATGTCACCCAGAGAAGTGTACTGCAGGGCATACCCAGGGTCTGCAGCCATGCCAGGCAGGGCACAGGCTCCCAGAGATGCCACCACGTCAGCACTGTGTCCACAGGTCTGAGGCCTTTCATCCCCGAGAAGGACAGCCAGCACTTCGAGAACTTCCTGGAGACCATTGGTGTGAAGGACGGCCGTGGCATCCTCACCGACAGCTTTGGCAGGCACCGGCGGGCCCTCAGCAGCACCTCCGCCTCCACCACCAATGGGGACAGGGCCGCGGGCAGCCCTGACGGCGGCTCAGCACCCTCTGAGGGCGACGAGTGGGACCGCATGATCTCCGATATCAGCAGCGACATCGAGGCCCTAGGATGCAGCATGGACCAGGACTCAGCCTGATGGGAGTGGGCAGTGCCCACTCGCCCAGTTCCTCCCGGACCCGCGTGGCAGCCCTTCCTGCTGACTGGGGGCTGCGGGCAGCCGAGTCCGCTACTGTGAAGGAGCACGGAGCTGCCTTGGGATATGCGCCTTGCCAGCTCGGGAGGCCCAGCCATGTCTGCACCATGTCCCTACTCATGGGAGCCAGGCCAGGCTGCTCTGTTTGCACACAATCTTGTTGCGACTCTCAGAGACGTAAAAAGTTTACTGCAATGTGAATAATTTAACCTCTTGGTGCCAAGCGTGTTTCTGACCCTTCTCCAGCCTGCTACACTGCGCCCGATGTCCCTGGGCCTGCACCTACTCCACAGTGCCCAGAGCTGGGCACACGGCTCCAGCATTAGGGCATGGTGGCAGCAGGAAGCATTAGACTTTAGCTTTGGCATTGTGGGCCTGGGGTTTCAGACTGGGTGTGAGTACACACCCAGGGAGACCTACATCTGTACACCCTGTGCACTGAAGCCCCGCCCCCAGCACTGCCTGCCTTGGGTGCCCAGGGTCAGTGTCTTCAGGACCGTTCCCCTGCTGCCCCTCACTGTGTTGTGCAGTCTGCCCAAGGGGCAGTGTCCAGGGCCAGGATGTCCTGGCACCTCCTCCACAGAGCAGCCTTGTTCAGCTGAGACCCAGAGGTCCCAGCTGCCATCTGCCTATGCTGTGCCTGTCAGCAGGCTGGGGGTTCCGTCTGTCTATCCTAGTGGGGGGCTTTGCAGATGTCCCAGGCACGTACAGGCCACACCAGGACACTATGCACAGATTGATTGCACACTATGTGATGTCACACTTCACCCAGGAAGGCCTGGGGGGTCCAATGGGGCAGATTGACCCTGACATGAAAGATCAGATCAGAGAGAGCCAAGAGGCTAGTGTGTGCTGAGGGCTGTCAGTCATCAGTGTGAAAGTCCAATGCAAGTCCTGACAGTGGTGGCCCTGCCGGGGCCAGGACACAGAATTCGGGGCGCCTTATGTGGCCCACAGGAGGGATGTCGCCCCCACCCAGAGATGCTGGCTTCCGCCCCACTGGAGCCAGATTGATGTCCGCTCCTCATACAGACTCAGTGTGGCCTAGCCTGACCTTGCTTGTACACCTAAGAGGCCACACACCCTCCCCACAAAGCCACAGGCCAGCCTGGTCCACGCGAGCCCAGGGAGTGGTGGGTGGGGACAGCAGGGAAAGGCAAGAGGCCTGCGGCGCTGGTCAGGGATGACAGGGCGGGCGGCGGGTGGGGGCGCTGTTTATTGAGCAGCAGGTGAAGGGAAGTGCGCCACGCCATGGCTCCAGTCAGCAGCTACATGGTCAGCTCCTGCAGAAGAGTGCAGACGGTGAGGGCCTGCTGTGGGTTTGCCAGGAGGGTTGGCAAACCCACAGCAGGCCCCAGGCTAGGCGCGGGGGCGAGGGGTGGCAGGGGTGGGGTGGGGGGCTGCCTCACTCACCATGATGGCGTTGACAATGTCACTGTGGTTGTCTCTCAGGGCCTGCACTGCCTTGGCCCTGGACACATTGGCCTGGGCCATCACCAGCTCAATATCCCGCAGCTCCAGCCCTGCCTCGTCCACCTGGGGTGGGGGTACAGCAGGTTAGCTACTGCCTTTTGTCCCTGGGACAAGGCTCACCCTGGGGACAGGCACTCAGAGCCTCCAAGTCTCACCTCCTCCTCTTCTTCTTCCTCCTCCTCTTCACACTCGGGCCTTACCCGGGGCCCAGGCAGGGACTCCTGGACCAGGGTGGAGGGCTCCGAGGGCACTTTGAACTTCTCAGCTGCAGCCTTGTGCACTTGCTGGGACAGGTCCTCGATCTGCAGCACAGAGCGGCTTTGTGAGCTGATCCTGTGGGTTCCCCCACCCTGCCCCAGGAGCACTCCCATCCGGGCCAGACCTTGGCCTCCCCAAAGACCACGTAGGTGTCGGAGGCTGGGCTCTTGAACACATCGGGCTTGGCGATGACAAAGAGGATGTTCTTGGACTTCTGGATGGTGATTCTGGTGACGCCCTGGATCTGCCGCAAGCCCAGCTTGGACATGGCCTGTGGGGGCGGGTGCGGGGGCGTCAGGTTTGGTGCTAGCCCTGGGCAATGAGGCAGCCACCTACCACTCTGACCCACTGCAGACTTGGGCTGGCCTTCCTTTTGGGTGGGAGTGGTCTCAGACCCTTCTGGCCTCAGCTCTTGGGAAAGGCGCAAGGGCTACGGAGCAGGACCACAGAGGTCCCTGTGGCTGGGATGGCCATGGCCAAGGGGGTCGGGAGCTTGGTAAGGTTACAAGCCCTTAGCCTACCTTCCGGGCCTTCTTTTCACTGCGACTCTGCTTGGCCTTGGCTATGGTCTCCTCGCTGCTGCCTGCCGGGGCCTGGACAAGGAAAAGAGCTAAGCACCTTTGGGTGGGAGGTATCCCTGCAATCCCCCAACATGGCCCCCCGACCTGGGCACCTGGGCTGAGCACTGCACCGTCTGAGGCACCGAGGCATCCTGTTCGTCCAGCTCGGCTGATGACTCTCCATGGCTATCTGAATGCTGGCCTAGAGAAGGGGGCAGGTGTGAGGGGGGGCAACAAGACAGACCCCCCGGTCCGCCCTGCCCCTCACCTTCCTCGGGGCTATCCTCATCTTCGTGCAGCTCGGGGGCCTCGGGCCCTTGTGCGTCAGCCGGGCTGCTGGGCCCAGATGCAGGAGGCACTTGGCAGGGGGGCAGGGGCCCCGAGGCCGCGTCTTTGGCATCCCTGGGGGCTGACTCGGGGTTGAGGAGCGGGCAGGGGGCCGAGGGGGGCCCCGGCCACTGCGAGGTTCCTGAGGTGGCAGCAGTGGTGGCCCACTGGGCTCTGGCCTGGGGTGTCCGGGGACCTGGAGGGTCTGCAGCCTCCTCATGGTCCCTGTGGTTTTCTTGGGGACGCTGGCAGGAAGCAGGGGCACCCAGGGGCCTGGATTGGGGTGTGCTGGGTGAGCCCCTGGCAGGGTGTTGTGGAGGCTGCTGTGGTGGGCAAGGACTAGAGGCTGGAGGAACTACCTGGGAATGGCCTGGGTTGAACATGCGCACCGGCTTGTTGCAGGGTGCTAGAGGTGGGGAAGGATCTTCAGGATAGCCCCTGTCCAGCTGAGAGGCAGCCCCTGCTGGCATCTTGGGGCAGGAGCCCCCAGCCTCTGTGGCTGCAGCTGCTGTGAGCTTAGGCCTTGGGGCAGCCTTGCCACCCTGACCCCTTCCCTCCCGGGCTGGACTCGGGGGCTGCCCCTGGCTGCCCTTGGGAGCAGCCCCTGCGCCTTGAGGTGTTGACCTGGGTCCATCTCCCCGTGCCCGTGGCTTGCGTCCTTCGCCCCTCCGGTCCTCAGCCCCCACACTCAGGTGCACAGACGCCACTCTGCCTGAGGGGGGGCCTGCATCTTGGGCCCTCACAGCCAGCTCTGGAGCATCATGTTGGGCCTGGGGTGGGGCTGGCGGCTCTGGCCCTGCAGACAAGGCTGTGTCCCTCCTGGCCACCCCCTGCTGGGATACAGAGGCCACAGGCTTGGGTCTGGTCCCTGGGTCGTAGCTTGCCTTGACCTGTGGGGCCTGTGGACCACCTTCGGCTGTGGGTTCTGGGCCTGAGTGGGGGCCTGTATTCTTCAGGGGCTGAGAGACTGCCACCAGACACCCCTGGACAACAGCCATGACATCTGCAGCTGGCAGGGGTGCAGGGGGTGCTGCGACAACGGGCCTTGAGCCAGAGGGGGGCACTGGTCCTCCTGCCTTTACATCCTGGGGAGAGACTGGGCAGCAGCAAGAGCTGGCTGCTTCCTGCCGACAGGGAAGCGCTTTGGCAGTGCCAGGAGCTGGGCCCTGGGTGGTGTCCACTCTCTTCTGACAGGGCTGGGGCTGTGCCCTGGTGATGGCTGCTCCCTCCACAGTGGAGTCCTCCCTTTCCTGCTCAGCCTCAGGGGTCAGCTGGGGCTCTGCCTCGATGTTCAGTGCTCCCTCCACAGTGGAGTCCTCCTCTTCCTGCTCGGCCTCAGGGGTCAGCTGGGGCTCTGCCTCGGTGCTCAGTGCTCCTTTCACAGTGGAGTCCTCCTCTTCCTGCTCGGCCTCAGGGGTCAGCTGGGGCTCTGTCTCAGTGTTCAGTGCTCCCTCTACAGTGGAGTCCTCTTCTGGCTTGGCCTCAGGGGTCAGCTGGGGCTCTGCCTCGGTGCTCAGTGCTCCCTTCACAGTGGAGTCCTCCTCTTCCTGCTCGGCCTCAGGGGTCAGCTGGTACTCTGCCTTAGTATTTGGTGCTCCCTCCACAGTGGAGTCCTCCCTTTCCTGCTCGGCCTCAGGGGTCAGCTGCGGCTCTGCCTCAGTGTTCAGTGCTTCTTTCACAGTGGAGTCCTCCCCTTCCTGCTCAGCCTCAGGGGTCAGTTGGGGCTCTGCCTCGGTGCTCAGTGCTCCTTCCACAGTGGAGTCCTCCTCTTCCTGCTCAGCCTCAGGGGTCAGTTGGGGCTCTGTCTCGGTGCTCAGTGCTCCTTTCACAGTGGAGTCCTCCCCTTCTGGTTTGGCCTCAGGGGTCAGCTGCGGCTCTGCCTCAGTGTTCAGTGCTCCTTCCACAGTGGAGTCCTCCCCTTCCTGCTCGGCCTGAGGGGTCAGTTGGGGCTCTGCCTCGGTGCTCAATGCTCCCTCCACAGTGGAGTCCTCCCCTTGCTCGGCCTCAGGGGTCAGCTGCGGCTCTGCCTCAGTGTTCAGTGCTCCTTCCACAGTGGAGTCCTCCTCTTCCTGCTCAGCCTCAGGGGTCAGCTGCGGCTCTGCCTCAGTGTTCAGTGCTCCTTCCACAGTGGAGTCCTCCCCTTCCTGCTCAGCCTCAGGGGTCAGCTGGGGCTCTGCCTCGGTGCTCAATGCTCCTTCCACAGTGGAGTCCTCCCCTTCCTGCTCGACCTCAGGGGTCAGCTGGGGCTCTGCCTCGGTGCTCAATGCTCCTTCCACAGTGGAGTCCTCCCCTTCCTGCTCGGCCTCAGGGGTCAGTTGGGGCTCTGCCTCGGTGCTCAGTGCTCCTTCCACAGTGGAGTCCTCTTCTGGCTTGGCCTCAGGGGTCAGCCAGGATCCTGAGGCTGCCTGCAGAGCAGGGGGTGTCTTGGTGGCCGTGGGCTCCCAGTCTAAGACAAGAGCAGCTTCTGCTGTTTGCTCAGCTGAATGCTGGCTCTGGATGAGGCAGGTGCCTCCTCCTGCACCCTGAAGGCCAGGCCCCTCAGCTGCGCCCCCGGACTCCCACCCTGCCCTCTGGGCTCCATCCTTGGGGAGGGGGCTGGGCTGGGCGTGGGGCTCCCCGCTGTACTGTCTCTCATCATCGGCCCCCGCATAGGAGGCTGAATCTGTGTCGGACGAAGAGGCCGAGGGGTCGTCGTGGAAGGCAAAGGCCTCGTCCATGCCCTCAGCAATGGACAGGTCAGACAGTGACTGCAGGAAGGAGGCCGATGGGCTGTCCTCCTCACCCTCCCCAGGCAGGTCCCTGTCGGATGCTGCAGCTGCCTCCTCCTCTGCCGCTGGGTGCAGTGGTGTCACCTCCATGGCCTCCACCTGGAAGATGAGGCTGCCCCGAAAGGGCAGGAGGGCAGCGGGGATCATTGGGTCGTTGGCCAGGAAGTCCAGGTCGAAGAAGTGGGCCTCCTGGCCCCAGGAAGAGCTGCTGTTGCTGGAGACGCTGGAGCAGGAGGAGGGTGGTGAGGGCAGCTCCGGGGGCTCCGGTAGGCTCGGCTCATGCTCATCCACCACGGAGCCCGGTGGGGAAACGCCCCAGCTGGAGGCCAGATCCAGGCCTTCGGTCAGGGCCAGCAGGCTGAGGGAGCAGGATGGTGATGAGGCCCAGCTATCCCCGTCAGCTGTGACGTAGGAGCCCGAGGGGGAGCCAGGGGGCGAGTCCTGCTCCACCCTGGAGCCCCAGCCATGGGAGCCATGGCCGGGGAACAGGGAACAGGTGGTTGCAGTGGGGGTGGAAGGAGGTGTGAAGAAGGACTCTGGGGAAGGGGAAGGCACAGGAGGCTCACCCTGAGAACACAGCTCGGGTGGTGGGTGCAAGCCATCATGCCCACCTTCCCGGTCCCTGAGCACTGGCTCGGCTGCCCCAGGTGATGGGAGGGCCTGGCACGTCTCCTCGCCCATGACAATCCGGGGCTCCAGGGCAGAGGGCAGAGTCTCTGGGGACAGGCCCTCGGGGAGCAGTGCTGAGCTCGGGCCGCCTTCTACTGTGTCTGCCCAGGCCGACGAGACCCCACCAGGCCCAGCATCCCAGCTGGCTCCCTCGGGCTGGGGCCGGGTGCCTGGCTTGCTGGGCAGGAATGTGAGGACCAGCGGGCTGGGTACTGGTGTCAGGGTATGGGACTCCCGCAGGCCCCCTCTTGTGCTGGGGCTGGCAGCCGCCTCACAGGAGCCATCTGTGGAGACAGAGTGGTTGTGAGCAACTTAGGATGGATGCCCAGCAGCAGGTGTGCTGGGAAGAAGGTGGGACAGAGAAAGAGAGAGAGAGGACGGTCCCCGAGGTCCTGACAGCTCCAGGGTGAGGAGACTATGTTGGGGCCCACCACTGTGGATTACAGCAGAGAGACTTGGGGACATTCGGCCAAAGCCAGCTAGCACCCATCTCTCCCTGAAGCCTGCCCTGCTGCTTCCAGAGGCAGCCGGGCCACCCAGACCCTGAACATTTCCAGTCCTGTGCTGGCAGCTCGGACACACTCTAGTCCATCTCTGCTCTCCTGGCTGCGTCTGTGGGGAGGGGTGGCATGCCATTGTCTCTGCTGGGTCCTGCCTCTGACCTCAACTCTCCCTGCCCCCCATACAATTTTGGAAAACTCAGGTTGAGTTAAGAGTATCTGTGGTGGCCAGCCGTGGGGACTGAGCCCAGCAGCTGAGCAGGGCTGCAGGACGGCCCTTCTGAAGCAGCACCACCCAGGAGGGTAAGTCCCAGGGCCTTTCTCTGGGTCCCCTGAGGGCTTCCCAGCAGTGGCCTCCCACACCTTCTGACATTCAATCACAGCAGGGCTCTGCTGCGAGCTTCACCATTTCCACCCAAAGGATTCCCCATGGACAAGAAACTGCTCCTGCACCTGGCCCAAGGCCAAGTTCTCCTTTTCTCAAGACTGGAGCTGGGGGCTGGAGGGTGGCGAGCAGGGGGTCTTCCCTGTAATCCTGCCCAACCACGCTCCCAGGGCCGGAGTGCACAGGCCTGCATCTCAGCTTAGAGCACAGCCAGTGTCATGGGTACAGCAGCTGGAGGAACCCTGGCTGGCTGCCCCAGCCACCCTTTGCAGAGTCAGGGTCTTGGGCCAAGGGCCAGCAGCTCCTGCTGGTCCCCTGAGGGTGGCCCTGCAAGGGGCCTGGGGTGTGCGAGGTAGAACTGGGGGGGGGGGCGGGGTAAGGGGTAGTGGGTGTGGCTGGGTGTGTCCCCCATGCCTATAGGCAGGGCTCCTAGGGCAGGGGAAGGCAGGGCCAGACCAAAGTCAGAAATCAAAGGCCAAAGGTCTTTTTGGGGGGTAGGGGAGTCAATTCAAGGTCACCAAGAGCAAGAACAGAGCCAGCACAGCGCCTGGGACTGGGGAACCCGGAGCTGCCTTCCAGCCAGGGCAGAGACAGCCGCCCGTGTCACTCAGCTCAGGCCCTGGACGCGCTCTGGGCCCCTCCCCAGGTGCCTTCTGGCCGCAGCAAGGTGCCCTTGGCTCTGCCCCAGCAACACAAGGTAGACTTCCAGCTGAGCCTTCAGGCTCTGCTCTGCTCCCCGCCAGCTGGACCCACGGCCTCCATCTCTGCTGCCAGATCTTGCCAACCCGGCCTCTCCAAGGACGCAAGCTCTGCACCCGGCCACCCGGACGACCCAGGCCCCGCCCCCCAGCTTCTCGCTTACCCTCGCCTGCCCTCCGGGCCTCCTGGGGACCCATCCAGGCCTGTCCCTCCTGAACCTAGCAGGTGCGGCCCTGGGGTGAAGTCGAGGGGGTCGGAGGTGCCCTAGAAGCCTTCGAGGCCACTGCCCCCACTTAGGGCCCTCAGCCTTCCTAGGTCTAGAGCGGCCCAGTCCCGAGGCCCCGCAGACAATGGGGCGCGGCCCCGCGAGCTGCACCGGCCGGGGCGTCAGGAGCCCAAGTCATTTCCAGAGGCGAGGCCCAAGGCGGTCCTCCTTCTTTTCCTGCCTCCCCACCCCCCCCGCCCCCCGTTCCCCGGAGCCCTGGGTTTGGGAAGCAGGGGTCGGAGTCCGAGAGGGCAGGACTGAGGAGGGGTGCGGCGGCGGTGGAGAAAGGAGAGCGCGGGCATCGGCCTCACCTGTGCGGGGCCCGGGCCTGCCCGCCTCGGGCAGCAGCAGCTCGGCACGCGCCGCCTCTCCGGGCATGGCCTGGCCGTGCGCCCGCCGGTCCCCCGATGCCTCCGTCCCTCGGTCGGTCCGTCTGTGCCGCCGCCCCGCGGAGGCTGCGCGGCCACCGCCCCTCGGCCGGGTGGGGGGAGCGGATGACGTCGGCGCCGCCCCGCCCGCCGCCCCCCGCCCGCGTGCGCGCGCCCGGCACTGCAGAGTGCGGGGCCGGGGGGCGGGGGCACGGCGCCTGGCCTCGCCTCTCCCTCAGCATCCTTCCGTTTACTGGCCAGGAGCTCTGACCCGTGCTGAGGCTGGGCACCACCAAAGCGGCATCACTCCCCCAGCCGGGAAGAGGTGGGGGTAAAGGAGGTAGTAGCGGGCGTCGCGGCCCCGCCCGGCCCGCTGCCTCCATCCCAAGGAGCTGCGGCTGGGCGGATTGGCTGGTCCTCGACCGGCGGTCTCCGTGGCAACCGCCTCCTGTCTCCGTGGCAACTGCTGGGGAAGGCGGTCCCGGCCGCGCTCCCGGGCAAGGATTGCCAGTACAGTGGCAGAGCCCCCCGGTTCTTGGGGCAGAGACACGCCTGCTCCCCCCCGCCCCCGCCCCGTTCCTGGCGGCCACAGCACCAGCTTCCCGAAGGCCGGAGCCCGCCCGTGCCGCGCCCCTCTCCTTGTGCCAGGCTCCAGGGAGACGAAAGAATGAGGCATTGTTATCACCCGTAGCCGGGTGGGGAATCAGGCAGGGCTCCTGCTGCCAGGGGCGCCCTCCAGCACAGCCCAGGACCTTGGCACCCCAAACCTGGCTGCCTTCTCTGGGCCTGGTGTCCGTGGCTCCTTCGCGGGCATCCGGGCCTCCCAAGCACTCACAGTCTCCTTCCGGTCAACTCTTGCGCCTTTGCAGAAGCTAAAGCCTCATCTTGGCACGGGAGGGGGCTTCTTGTCCACACAAGCCAGCCCCTCCTGACGAATACAGAGATTAAGAAAGAAGAGGAAACCCAAACAAAGCTAGAGGATGAGGAGGACGGGGACATGAACCTACAGGAGACCAGTGACACACACACTGTGTATGGGAGTCCCTCTGACCTCAGCTCACCCAGCTGGGCACATCTGGCAGGAGGTGGGTGAGAAGCAGCTGCCTTCCTCCTGGACCTGGGTCCCATCCCCATTCGTAACCCAGAGGCCTCCAGGGGCAGGCATGGCGAGAGGGCCCTAGAGCCAAGAGCAGGTGTCCTTGCCAGGAGTTGGGGAGGGGCGGGGCGGCAGTGTCAGGTGTGGAGGGCGGAGGGACTGGCCACCTGCAGCTCTGTGTTAGAGAAGGACAGGGAGGAATCCCTCAGCGGACAGGAAGTGAGACAGCATGCGTGAACGCAATGGGAAGCCTCTGCTCATGTGTTTTCTGACATGGATGTGGGGGTTAAAACACGAAACTGTCTGGGCATCACTTGCTACTGAGAAAGATTTAGAAGTAGGAGAGGGAGGGCCTGGTGCAGATGACTAGTGGCTAAATCCTTGCCTTGTATGCAGCGGGATCCTATACAGATGCTGGTTCATCTCCTGGCTCATCTTCCTTTCCAGCTCCATGCTTGTGGCCTGAGAAAGCAGTGGAGAGCACCGCCCAAGGCCTTGGGATCCTGCACCTGTGTGGGAGACCCAGAAGAAGCTCCTGGCTCCTGGTTTCAAAGTGGTTTAGTTCTGGCTGTGAACCAGTGGACAGATCTTTCTCTCCTTTTCTTTGTATATCTGCCTCTCCAATTAAAAAAAAAAAAAGTAGGACAGTGAACGGGACTGGAGTGAGGTGGCTCACACAACCTGCTAGTGTGGACCAAACACTAGTGCAAACCACGGCAACCCCGTGTTTTTAATAACCAGAATGACTGCTAAGTGGGGCGTGACATATCCGAACACATTGTACATCAGGCAAGACAGAGAGCTGACAGGAGAGAGACACAGTGGGAATCAGAAGCTGTAACACAAAGGGCAGACTTGCTGTAACATATGGAAACAGGCAGAACAGAGAAAAGGCAGTGTCTGGTAGAATGGAGGGAAACAGATCGAAATACATGTTGGTCACAACAGATTCATTGCAGGTTCAGTGATGGGGGCCAGTGACACAATGGATTAAGCTACCACTTCTGATACCAGCATCCCACATTAGCACCAGTTCGAGTCCCAGCTTCTCCACTTCTGACCCAGCTCTCTGCTTGTGGCCTTGGGACCCTACACCCACGTGGGAGACCTAGAAGAAGCTCTTGGTTCCTGGCTTCAGACTGGCTCAGCTCCAGCTGTTGTGGCCATCTGAGAGTGAACCAACAGATGGAAGATCTTTATCTCCTCTAAATTTGCTTTCAAGTAAAAGTAGCTAATTTTTTAAAAGAAAGCAAATAAACAAGCAGCTAACCGTCATATATAAAAACCACTTCACCCAGTAGCAGCAAAAGTCGTATTTTGAAGATACCATTGGATTGTTGCTCAAGAGAGGCAAAATTTTGAGCCATAAAATATGAGCTTATTTACTTATTTTAAATACTCATTTTGTTTGTTTTTCAAAGGCAAAGTAACAGAGAGAGGAGAGAAAAATAGTTTCTATCTACTAGTTCATTCCCCAAATGGCTGTCATAGCCGAGCTGAGCCAGTCTGAAGCCAGGAGCTTCCTTGGGGTTTTCTGTTTGTGCCCAAGGACTTGATTCATCCTGGACTGTCTTTCCAGGCCATAAGCAGGGAACTGGATTAGAAATGGAGCAACTTGGACTTGAATTGGCACCTATATGGGGTGCTGGTGCTGCAGGCAGAAGCCCAGGCTGCACACCAGGGTGCCAGACCTGGAGTAGCCCAGGCTACCCACAGCACACTCGGCTCAGAACGCGATCATGGAAACCCACAGAGAGCCTCTGAAGGTAGGGGATGAAACAACACACTCCCTGCCAGCCCGTGGGTGCAGTAGGCTACCCGAGGGCACTCGCCAAGCACAGGGCTAGTGGGCAGAGTTCCCGGCCTGGGCCCCAGTCCTGCTGCTGCTGCTTTCATGGACATTCTCTCATTGCAATCTTCAGCTCTCTGCTGATGTGCACCCTGTGAAGCAGCAGGTGATGGCTCAAGCTGTTGGGTTTCTGCCACCTGCCTGGGAGACTGGACTGGATTCCTGGCTCCATTGTGAGCACTTGGGGGAGTGAACCAAAGGAGAGATTATTCTTGGCCACAGCATGGTAGCCTGTGACTAAATTCCTTGCCTTGCATGCACCTGAGTCCCCTATGGGTGCCAGTGTGTGTCCTGGCTGTTCTTCCCTTCTAGCTCCCTGCTTGCGCCCTGGGAAAACAGTAGAGGATGGTCCAAGGCTGAAGGACCCTGCGCGTGTGTGGCTGATCTGGAAGAAGCTCCTGGCTTCAGATCAGCTCAGCTCTGGCCATTTCAAATAACTGCATCTGTTGCAGCAGTGTAATGATTACTCAGGCATGGCTAAGGCTAAGATGAGCTGAGAGCAGCAGGCCACAGGAAGTGCAGTCTGGTTGGACCTTCTGAAGAGGGAGATCAACAAATACTGAGGTTTGTTGAGGGAGAGGGGAGATGGCAGAGAGGTAGGGTGGCTACAATCTGAAAGCTAATTGTGGTGTTGACTGCATCTAGCTCGGGCAAACTAAAACCCAATGGTTAACATTAGTTTTAAAAAATTTTCCTTTTTTTCTTTTTATTTTATATATATATAAAATCTATAATCTAATTTATATTTATATTATATAACACTTACCTATTATAAACACATTATATATTTATAATATCTTAATATCATATAATAAAATAACTTATTAAAATTACCATAAACTACAAATTATTAAATTACCAAATAATTAAGATAAAAATTTAATTATAATATCTATGTTTATAATATTATAAATATATAATATATATATTTTAAAGATTTATTTATTTATTGGAAAGTCAGATATACACAGAGGAGGAGAGACAGAGAGGAAGATCTTCCGTCCGATGATTCACTCCCCAAGTGAGCGCAATGGCCGATGCTATGCCGATCCAAAGCCAGGATTCAAGAACAACTTCTGGGTCTCCCACACAGGTGCAGGGTCCCAAGGCTTTGGGCCATCCTCAACTGCCTTCCCAGGCCACAGGCAGGGAGCTGGATGGGAACAGAGCTGCTGGGATTAGAACCCGGTGCCCATATGGGATCCCAGCACGTTCAAGGTGAGGACTTCAGCTGCTAGGCCACGCCGCCGGGCCCTCCTTTTCTAAGATTTATTTATTTTTATTGCAATGTCAGATTTACAGAGAGGAAGATCTTCCATCTGATGATTCACTCTCCAAGTGAGCTCAACGGCCGATGCTATGCCGATCCGAAGCCAGGAAATTCTTCTGGATCTCCCACGCGGGTACACATAGGAGGATCCCCACGGGGGGTTCCAAGGCTTTGGGTCATCCTCGACTGCTTTCCTGGGCCACAAGCAGGGAGCTAGATGGAAAGCAGGGTTGCCGGAATCCCGGCACATGGAAGGCGAGGACTTTAACCACTATACTATCACGCCGGGCTCTAAAGATTTTATTTTTTACTGGGAAGTCAGATATATAGAGAGGAAGATATTCTGTTTTTGACTCACTCCCCAAGTTGCGGCTACTGCTGGAGCTGAGCTGACCTGAAGCCAGGAACAAGGAGGCTCTTTTGGTACCACATGGGTGCAGGGTCCCAAGGCTTTGGGCCACCCTCAACAGCTTTCCCAGGCCACAAGCAGGGAGCTGGATGGGAAGTGGGGCTGCCAGGATTAGAACTGGTGCCCATATGGGATCCTGGAGTGTTGAAGGTGAGGAGGCAAGTTGCTGTCAGTGTATCAAGAGGGAAAAGTGTCAGACTGGCCTAGATCTTTATGCCAAATGCAGGACTCTTCACTATACCTGACAGTAGGTCACTTTTTAACTATGGGTCTCAAGAATGTGTTTCTAGGGTCCAGCATGATCGCATAATGGTTAAAGTCCTTGCCTTGAATGTGCTGGGATCCCATATGGGCGTCGGTTCTGGTCCTGGAGACCCCGCGTCCCATCCAGCTCCCTGTTGTGGCCTGGGAAAGCAGTCAAGGATAGGCCAAAGCCTTGGGACCCTGCACCCGTACGGGAGACCCGGAAAGAAGTTCCTGGCTCCTGGCTTCGGGTTGGCGCAGCACCGTCCACTTGGTCACTTGGGGAGTGGATCATCGGATGGAGGATCTTTCTCTCTGTACATCTGCCTTTCCAATAAAAATAAATAAATCTTAAAAAAAAAAAAAGTGTTCCTAGGAGGGGCAGAGAACTTGGATCCATGGCACAGATGTCCCAGGAGATTCTTGTGGGACTGCCAGTGCAAGCACGCTATGCTCACAGCACTCTAACACTTGCAGGCCCAGGCCAGGGTTGGGCAAAGTTCTGGGGCTCCCAAAGTGTAAACCATTAAGCTGAGCTGTCTCTGGGCCTTGAGAAAGTTGGTGCCCAGGAAGGATGGCCTCTTGGTGGCAGCAAGCACTTGCACAGCTTATGGCAGAGAACTGACACTCAGAATACACAAAACTCTCAAACCCATGAAGAAGCAATCTAAGTGAAATGCAGGCCTAAGGCAAACCTCACAAAAACAGATGCAAATCACTTCTCACTGAGTAGAGGCGGCTATTCCACACCTGTCCCCGGCCCTGGGCTGCAGCCCTTGCTGGGCTCGCAGTGCTAGCTGCTACGCCCTTGGAAGCACAGGAGACGTGGCCACCCTTGTGGGAGCTGTGGTGTGAACTCCAGGCTCCTCCTCCAGCCTGGCCGTTCCTGGGGAGTGATCCAGTGTATGGCAGATCTCTGCCTTCCAAAGGTTCAAAATAAATAGCAACTAAGAAACTAAAAAAATTTAGTGACTCCATGTAATTTGCCCTTACCTCAACAGGCACTGTAGGTGGCTATTCACAGCACCCTGGCACACAGCCTGGCATGCGCTCCAGGAGCTCTGACCTGGAACAGAGCCCTGAACAGGCTTGAGGGTTCTACCCGGACGGCTCTCAAGGGTCCAGGGAGTAAGCAGGGTGCTCAGTGCAGCCAGCCCCAACAGTCATTTCTTCAAAGCCTTTCTGTCAAAGTGGCAGCCCAGGCTCCCAACAACCACCCTCGGTGCATGACAGTGGACACAGAGCTCACCTGACTGCCCCGGGGCAGACAAGGGAGGGGAGGGAAGCAGGGGCAGGCCAAGGGGTCCCGCAAGGATGCCCATGTACTCAATGCTTGAGTGTGACTTTGCATCTCTGAGCTGCCAGGAGGTAAACCCAGGAAGCAATCCTTCCAACTGCAAGGGAACCTGCAATTATCCCAGAATAAAAGCAGTTGATGCTGAATGGCAAACAGCCTTTATTTCCTCTCTCTCTAACACACACACACACACACACACACACGGATCTTCCCACGGTAGCTAGCAAGCTCCTTGGCCATGTCCACCAAGAACCAGGCCATGGCCAGGAACCGACATCCCATTCTGGAATATTCTTTCTCATTCTGCCAGGCTGGCAGGCAGTGCTCAGTGGTGTCTAGGTCTAGGAGGGCCCAGCAAAGCTCCCCTGAGGCCTGTCAGCCTGGGACAAGAGCACTTGCTGGGGTGGCCACACCTGACCACGACAACCTGCTCACGTCCACGGTGTCAGCCAGCCATCAGGGCCGGTCCACCCACCAAGTGCAGAGCAGCTGAGGCTCCTTCCCCCGTCCCTGTAGCAAAGGTGAGCACCCCTGGGTCTGGGGTCATACACTGACAGCATTCCCTGGAAGCTCCTCCAAGCTTCAGCGATCTGGGGACTGAGTGCAGGAACCTGGCCCATGGCTGGCTTGTGGGGATGCAAGCCCGAAGCAGCCAGGTGGTAGGGGCTGCCTTACATCCTGATCCCACAGCTGTCAGCCATGCCCTGGACCTCAAGCAGACAAGGGGCAGGGGAGTGGTGACAAAACCTGGAGTCTTCGATGGTGAGAGCAGAATTGATTTATTACACACAAGGGCCCCATCTCCCCCAGAGCTGCTGATCACCCCTGCCCAGGCCAAGTCTAGTGCAGGGGTGGTTTCTCCTCTTCAAGGGAGCCACCTCTTGCCACCAGATGCCCAGAACCAGGCCTGGGCATGCAGTCCTACTGATGGATGGATGGTCACTTGGCCAGCTCCTCAGCTACCACTTTACGCATCTTGTCTTTGAGGTAGGCACCCTTCTGCCACTCAGACTTGAGCTCCAGCCACTCGTAGTAGGGGACCTGAAGAAGGGATGGCCATGTGGGTACCTGTCTTGTTCTGCATCCCTGCCCAGGTCCCTGGGGCTCAGGGAAGACTTCTGGATGACAAATGACTGTTCACAGGAAGGCTGCAGCCCTGACCGAGGCACTGAGGCACGGCCCGAGTGGGCCCAACCGGCCCCTGCGCAGCGGCCAGCACCTGCGGGTACTCACATCGACCACGAGGAAGCCCGCGGCCAGCACGTGGCGCCGGGCCAGGGCGGAGCGGCCCATGAGGTCCTTGCTCCGGCTGCTGAAGCTGGGAAACTCCCACCTCAGGAAGGCGAGCCTGGCGGGCGGGGGAAGGGTAGCTACTGAGCGCTGGCCCTCTAGTCCTTGTGAGAGTCAGACACAGCGTATGAGGGCCATGCTGGCCTGGCCCCAGAGCTGCGGGGTGCTGTGGCTTGTACCTGAGCGACCACCGGGGCTGGGGGTCCTTACCTCTTGGCCCCCTCAGGCAAGGGCTGGTTCCCCGCTGGCTGGGTGAGGTGAGGTGCCACAAAGTCTCTGAGGGGCAGGAACTGGCCGTCAGCGTCCAACAGCACCTCTGCGTCTGAAGAAGGGACATGGTGAGCACGCTGTGAACAGGGCCCTGCCCCTGCCCCCTGGTGGGAAGAGAACCCAGGGTGGGGATCCATTTCGATTTGGGCACTGAGGCCAGGGGGTGCCCTCACCGAGCACCCAGCCGTACTGCGTGGCCACTGCGAAGCTGCCTCGGTCGGCACTGCCCAGCAGCCCCTTCAGTGTCTCTGGCAGCTCCCTTTGCAGGGGGGTCACCTTCTGGTCAGGGGCTGGGGGCTGGGCGGCCACAGCAGAGGCTGGCAGGAGGGGGCCTGTATACCCAGGGTGCTCTAGGCGGGCAGTGGCATTGATGTGCAGCAGCTTCTGGAAGGTGCTCTGACCCTTAGGAGATGTGGTCTCTGGGAAGGAAGTGCAAGGGGGAGGCAGAGCTGGGGTGGGCGCTGGGGTCAGCAGCGACCCCTGCCCCACCCAGGGCTCTTGGTCGGGAGGCCATAGGTGTGGATGGCTGCAGCTGGGTGGCCATGCCGCCTTCCCCGCTGAGGGCGCTCACCTAGAAGTGGGGTGTGGAACCCTGGATCGAGGACAGCTCTCAGCTGGGCTTCCTGTGCCTGCTGCAGCACACACAGAGCCCACACCAGATCCACCTGCAGTGCTGGCTCCAGGCTCACCAATGCCGGCCCTAGCTTCTCATGCACCTGGTGGACACAGCACTACAGTGGAGAGGCCGGCTGCCTTGGCAAGCCCCGCCAGTCTGCCCAGGGAGAGCATTCATCAGCCGGCAGCCAACAAAAGGGGTGAGGACAGGGACTGGGCCTGAGTTCGTACCAGGCTGAAGAACTTCTCTTCCTGCTCTGGGCGGAAGTTTAGGTGCGCAAAGGCCAGCACTACGTTGCACAGGTGGGGCAGGGTGACGTCCTGGGCTCTGTTCAGGATGTGCTGGGCCGGTCGGAGACAGCAAAGGACAGGATGAGCGCCCAGCCAGGAGCCGCCCCCTGCCGAAATAGTCCCTGACAAGCGCAGGTGGCTCAGAGTGGTCACTACAAAGACATGCCAGGTCAGGAGGCTTTGGAGTAGACTCCAGCCTCACGTGTGCTCTCCCAGGCCCTGCTGTGAGACGAACCTGCTCACATGTGGCCCAGAAAAAACCCAGAACTGGGTCCTGACACCATGTGGGTGCATCTCCCACGTCAACTTCCCAGTTTACCAGCTCCTGTCCCCATGGAACCAGCTCTGAGCTCACCTGGACAAAAGCCTCGAACAGGGGCAGGTTGAGCCACTTGAGGAAGGTGAAGGACTTGGCGCAGCGGGCTACCTCGGCAGGCGTCAGGCTGGGCAGCAGTGGCAGCAGGTCGGCAGCCAGGCGCTGGGCTACCTGGGTCTGGTGGAAGCTCAGCTTGCCTTTGGGACAGGACAGAGCACAGGCTCAGAGCTGCATCGGCCTTGGGCCCACAGGCTCCATGTCTGTGACCAAACTTATCCCTGAGCCCCAGTGCCGGGGAGCAGGGCCCATGAGTCACAGGTTTCTGTGGCAGCCTTCTGGGCCGGCACCTGCCATGAGTGGGCAGGTGCCGAATTTGACACAGCTGCAGGTGTGCCCTGGGGGGCCCCTCACCATAGGCGTAGGTCAGGTCCAGGAGCACACTTTTCGTCAGCGGAAAGGGCTTCTGCACGAGATGGTAGGAGATGGCCCGCAGCAGTGGCAATGACCGCCGGCCCTGCGCCGCCAGCGCCAGCAGCACCCTCCGCATCTCTTCAGGGCCAAACTGTTCCACCAGCTCCAGGCACTGTCAACCACAGCCGCGCAGGGGTCAGCTTGATGGCCTGGGGCAGGGCTCCTGTCCAGTGCAGCCCCTGTGAGACAGCAACTGGGCCTGAGCTGACCGACACGGGCCCACCTTTGCAAGGCCAGCCTCCTGCCCGCCCCAGGTCTAGAATTTTGTCTGCAGGGAAATTTATCCCCAGGCCCCAGCGGGTGGGGGGCCTGGGGCCCATGAACTGCAGCTTGCTGTGGCAGCCATCTGGGCCAGCCCTCACCACAACAGCACGAGGGCTGAATTTGACTTGGCTGCGGCAGGGGAGGGGGAGCAGGGTCGGCTGGGACACCCGCTGTGCCTCCTCAGGGCCACGTGCACAGGGAATTTCAGAGCAACAGTGTGGGCCTGCCACTGCGGCCTGGAGCTCTCCATCAGCCTGCGTGATGCCACAGGCTATGGAGATAAGCTCCCAGGACCCCCACAGCTCAGGACTGCCCCCTGGCAGGGCACAGGCCAGAGGCCTGGCGCATCGGCCCCTACCTTGTCTTCCAGGCGGTTCATCAGTGAGCCCGAAAGGTGGCCAGCCTTCAACATCAGGGTCGCCAGCGTACGGCCATCGTCCAGCTCTGTCCAGCGCCTCTCCAGGTGCGTGAGCAGTTCGGCCAGCAGCTCCTGCGACTGCTGCTCCTGCATGGAGGTGGCGCAGGTTTCGGCCAGGAAGGCCAGGTGTTTGTACTTGAGCCTTCGCAGGCGCCAGCGTACCTCCTGCTCCACAGAGCGCAGCTCCCGGGATGCTTCGGGCAGTGCCAGTGCATACAGGCTCCGCAGCAGCCTCACCAGGGTCCCATGCCAGACCAAGGTTATCTGTACAGAGTAGTGACAAAACCCCATCACCAGTGGCTCCCTGGAGCCCCATTTCCTGTTGTGTGTGAGTACCCCTCAGAGGACAGTTGGCTCCCACCCTGCTCTACAAGGCCGGGTGCCCAGCTCCTATCCTGGCCTGGCAGCCCCACATCCTGCCCAGTGCAGCAAGCACAGCAAACAGCACCCTGCCCTTCTCCCCCAGGTCCAGGGTAGTTCTGGGCCCAAAGCCTGTCCCTACACCTCACTACTGGTGCCCACTGGGGAGGCCAAGGTGCATGTCAGGGCCTGGGCCATCCTCACAAGAGATGGACGTGAGGCAGCGTCACTTACCTTCCGTGGCTGCTGGCCCTCTGCTGCAGGAGCTGAGCTGGGCACACAGGGCTGTGCTCTGAGAACTAGGCGATCCCTGGCTTCCACTTTGTTACTGCCTTAGTCTTGGGTTTCAATGTACAATGTTCAATACCAACTAGAATCACAGCATCTGAATTTAGACGCTAAAGGAGCATGTTTCTGTGACCTTGGCACACACACCTGAACTAGGGCAGAAAACTCCAAAGGAAGCAGCCTGCTGACTACACTCTCCCTGTGCCAGGCAGCTGCCATGGCCCACTGTGGGGCCAATAGCCGGTAGCCAAGGAGGTGCCCAGGAAAGAGCCCTTGTCACAGTGGAGCTGGCCCTGGTGGACAAGCACTGCCTGCGGTATCACATGAACAACCTGCCAGCTCTCCACGTTCTGCCTCTGTAGGTGGCACAGCTGGCTCAAGCCCGGGGCACCCTTTACCCCATGCTTGTCAAGGAGATGTGTGTCCCTGTGCACCTGGAGACACCTAGGGCTTTGTCAGGACAGACACAGACTCCGGGTCCTGCCTGCCACCCTCTCCACACCCACCTGGCTGCTGACCAGCTGCAGAAGTTGCTGGAAGCGGGCATCCTGCTGTAGTGAGGCCCTATGCTTTGGCTTCTCAGCCAGCAGGCGCGTGAGGCGAATGAGCATGATGGCTGCGTGGTTGTGGTGCAAATTGTGACCGCTGTCCAGTAGTTCTAGTAGCTGCTCCGGCCGGGTGGCCTTCTCGATGCACTGGTCCACCTCCGTGGGCTTGGGGTAGGGCGTGAACACCTGTTCCCTCTCCAGAAGCTCTTTCAGGGAGCCTGGGAGCCGGGAGCTGGGAGAGGTGGCTGAAGAGGTCAGGGGCCTCTGGGCCAGCGCCGCGAGCCTCGGCCGGCTTACTGGGGCCATGGCGGGGGCAAAGCGAGCCACTTCTCTCAGGAGGCAGGCACACTCTTTCACCAGGCGGGAAGCCATGGCGGTCCGGGAGGCTGGGAGGACGCCTGGCCAGCGACTCCCAAGCTCTGAAGGAAACAAGGAGAAACGGCTGTGTGTGCATCAGGCCCTCAGCCAGGAAGCATGCAGCGCAAAGCCGCAGCCTCACCCTCCGGAAGAGCAGCTCAATCCTGTCTGCGTGCACTGGCCACTGGCTCCCAAGGCAAGCATCTCAGAACACAGCCAAGGGCACAGGGCTGCTGGCAAGCTCGGGAGGGGCCCTCCAGTCCACCAGGTAGTCCACCCCTCCTGGCCAGGAGTCCTTACGGGCAGTACCAGAGACCTGTGGGCGCACAGCTAACCTGGGGAAGACCCGTGTGTCAGAAGGAGCTGGGAAAGCCCAGGGACACAGGTCAAGTGCGTCTGTTTTAACACAAACGTGGGTGCCGAGTACCGCACAGAGGCGGCTCATGCCTCCGAACTGACTCAATGCCCCTTCCCTAAACGTCACGCTGAGCACTTCAGGGGCCAGCAGCTGCCTTCTCCACTTCCAGTCCAGTGCCCTGCTAACCAGCCTGGGAAAGTGCCCCAAGAAGGCCCCAGTGCTGAGTCTTGCAGTCATGAGAGACACCTGCATAGAGCTTCGGCCTCCTGGCTTCACCCTGCCCCTTACCTAGTCCCAAGACTGTGGACATTTGGGGTGTGAACTGGCACGTGCATGTGCAAGATCTTCCCAATAAATTCATATATACATACATATAAATAAATGTATATATAAAGCAGCTCTCCATAACACAGTCCCCTTTCAAAAGGGTCTGCACCTTCACTCCAACCGTAGAACGTGCTGGGGGAGGGGCATGGTGGCTCAACTGACTAATCCCCCGGTCCTTGCAAACACAGGGATCCTCCATGGGCCCAGTTTGAGTCCCGGCTGCTCCACTTCCCATCCAGCTCTCTGCTTAATGGCCTGGGAGTAACAGCGAAGGATGGCCCAAAGCTTTGGGACCCCACACCTATCCAGGGGACTCTAGGCTTCGGATCAGCTCAGCTCAGGCTGTTGCAGCCATTTGAGGAGTGAATCAGCAGATGGAAAGCCTTCCCTCTATCTTTCCAAAAAAAAAAAAAAAATATATATATATATATATATATCTACTTAAAAAAAAAAAGGAGCTACGGGGGCCTATCACCTCGCCCTCCCCCACCCCGGGTGGAAAGGCACCCATCTCTGCAGGTCGCCTCATCGGGGACTTTGCCGGCAGCGGGGCCCAGGGAGACGCGTCGCAGAACCGTCCCAGTCGGGCGGGGACGCCAGGTCCGGAAGCTGGGCTGGGGTTCAGGCCGGCACCAAGGCCAAGACTCAACCAAACACGTCCGCTCGCCACAAGGAGGGCCCACGGGGCAGCGGTGCCTGCAGGCCAGGCCGCGGACCCCAGCCCGCCTCTGCCCGGGCCCCGCGCACCCCCCCAGGAACCACAGCGCCTCCCCAACCTCGGCTCCGGGGCCCCAGGAATCACGCTCGGCAGCCGCTCCTGCCCGCGGCGCCAGCCCCACGCCGAAAGCTCACCCGCTGACCTCCATGCGGCGCCCGCTCTGTCCCCGGGCTCGCCGCGCGGCGCGCCCACGACGTCATCAGGAGGCCGCCGGAAGCGGGGCCCGCCGGGCGCCGCCCTGCTCCTGCCGTCGCCATTTTGGCCGAGGGAGCAGGTCTTGGAGGGAGCGTGGGGAGCACGGAAAGGGCTGTGGTCAGGAGCCCAGATGGCGGACTGGAGGTGGCGGTCTTCTCCGGGCGGCAGGTCGTCCAAATGCGGAGTTCGCTAGGCGGTTCTCAGGGGTGGGCCAGGGCTCCCCCGCCCCCGGGCTGCGTGGGCCCGGTGTGGTGTTGGCTAGGGTGGCCACGTGGAGCTCACACGGACTCGGGGGCGCCGCGTGGAGCCCCGGATGCAATTCTGGATTCTGGGTCCTCAGGCGTGGTCTGGTGACTTAAAGTTCTGGGTGACCCAGTCATCCCAAAGTCTGCACATGGGCTTAAGGAATTTCCGTTTCTGTAGAGTCTTGTTTCCCACGGACTTGGTCCTTTTCCTCCCCTTTTTTAAGATCCCATGTGCTTATCGCAACTAGTACCTGAAGTCTTTGACTAGTTGCCTCCCAAGTTTAGTTAGGATCGTAATTCATGATGCAAGGTGGCCTCCATTATGTATAACCTATAATGTGTACACTCGATGTTGTTCTGAATTTTATGTGCACACACACTAAAGCACAGTGAGCACTTCCTGTGGGCTCTGCAGGTGGACGGTTTTGGAAGAAGGTGCAGTAAGAGGACGGTGATTGTAGGGGTTATAGCCGGGGAACTTCCGTATTAGGCCGACATAGGTAAGCTGGGTTCTGCCTGGGCAGGGGAAGCTGGCTTGCTTGCAACGTGGCTGTGTGGCCTTTGACACAAGCGACTCCTTTGGGCTTTGGTCTCTTGGGGCCCACACTGAAGCAGTAGTTGACTGTCATCGCAAATTTGCACAGCTTTCTCCAGACCTGCCAGATGCACCACCATTTTAACCTAGACTGGAGAAATCTCTCCCTGAGCTGCCTTCCTCTGCTCCAAGCTGCCTGGAGCTGCTACCCTGTGTGACCCCAAAGGCGTCATTGCTAGCGTTTTTGCTTTCTGCCTCCTGCACCTTCTTTTCCAGCTCTGTCCTCCAACAGAAGCAATGTAAGGGCGTGTCTTGAAAATGTCTTGATTGCCTCTCCCACTGGGTGGTGGTTTGGTTGAGCTCAGCCCCTTACTCCACGCAACTCCTGCTGGAGGCCAGCCACAGCCGAGTTTGAGTTTGGAGCTGGAGAAGGGTGTGTGGAGGAGGCGTAGAGAGAAATGAAATGGACCGCTACGATTTCATGACCGTAATGGACGTGCAAGAAAGCTGTCCCCTTGTTTATACAGAAGCAGTCATAAAGGGTGGGACAGGCTTTTTTTTTTAAAAAAAAAGATTTATTTATTTTTATTGCAAAGTCAGATACACAGAGAGGAGAAGAGACAGAGAAAGATCTTCCATACAATGACTCACTTCCCAAATGACTGTAATGGCTGTCACTGAGCCGATCTAAAGCCAGGAGCCAGGAACTTCGTCCAGGTCTCCCACATGGGTGCAGGGTCCCAAGGCTTTGGGCCGGGCTGTCCTCAACTGCTTTCCCAGGCCACAAGCAAGGAGCTGGATAGGAAGCGGGGCCACTGGGATTAGAACCAGTGCCCATATGGATCTCTGTGCGTTCAAGGTAAGGACTTTAGCCACTAGGCCACGGCCCTGGGCCCTGGCACAGACTTTTTTTTAAGACTTTTTACATCATGGTCAGGTGGGTGTTTCCAAGGATAATTCTGTTTGCTTCACCTTGAAACAGGATGTTATCCATCCTGTCCCTGTTGTCAGGAAGTTCTCAGTCAGTAACACATCCCTACTACACTCCTTATTCCTACTACAATTCTCGTTATACCCACGTTGGTGTGAGACCTTGGAGGAAGTCTCTGCTGTGATGTCAACTGGCCTCAGCCAGGCCCCAGCATCCACACAGAGGGTGGGCAGTTTTGGGGCCTTCTAGAGTGCAGCACCTGCCAGTCACGGTGCAAGCAGGCAGCTCTTCCGGTGGGGGCTGAAGCCCCTCCCCTGCCTCCCAGAAATCCCTTGTCTGGCTGATGGTTAAATTCATCTTGGCTCTGTAATGGAGCTTCCAGAAAATCTGACACTAAGACTTGGGGGCTCCCAGTCATTCAGGCGACCGCATTGCTGTGTTGTGGGAGGTTGGCCTTCTGTGGCCTGGGGACGGACACACTGTGTGCCCCCCACCTCACCTTCTGTGTCTCTCCTTGGGCTACTCTCAATCTCTTCTGGGTGATGGGATGCCTGACTGTGTACCAGGTGCTTATGGGGATCCTGTGAGTGGATCTTGAAAAATCTGAGACTGTGGGCATCCTTGCCTTCACAGCTGAGTGAGGCGGGAGTGTGGGTGGGTGTAGGCTGGTGGGACTGAGCCCCTCGCCCGTTGGATCGGACACACAGCTGGGGGCAGAAGTGGCCAAGAGCTGTAGGGTGCCCAGCTGGTGCCCTGGGGAGGCACCATGCAGTGCTGATTGAGGGGGCAGTCCCTGCCCATCCCTCCCCTGCCACAGCACCAAGACCTACCAGTGCTGGTCCTGCAGCTGGGCAGGGAGCTCTCTACTTGGTCCACAGGTGCCACCAGGTTGACCCCTGGCTGATCTTGCCTTGTTGTCCATTTGTCCACACGTGCCACCACTGAGGGTCACCTACTTTCAGCAGCTCCCAGTGGCAAGACCCTTTCAGCTCCCTCCTTCAGGCCCCTAGGTTAGACAGACACGCAGACAGAGCCTGAAGCCGAGTGATTTTATTAGCAGCGGGTGGGATGTGTCACACACTCTCTGAGATGGCGTAGCTGAGCTGCTCCTGGCCCGCCACTTGCTGCCACCACGGGTTCGTGGGGTAGTTTCCTCACTAGAGAGGGCCCCCTGCAGGAGAAGAGAGATGGGGAGGGGAGGGTCAGCGTCCCCCGCAGTTCATGCCCACTGCTCAGGAACCTCCCCCCCCCCCCCCCCCGTGCCCTCCATCCCAGCATCTGCGGGCCACAGGCTGGTGGCTAACGCCTTGGGTTCCTAGCTTGAAGCTGGTCCGGAACTCGGGGCCAGTACTCTCACCTATGACAGGGTCCATGCATCGCATGGCACAGCGGCTGAAGCAGCATTTCTTCTTGTTGCTGCACTGGTTATCGTTGTTGCACGTGTCCTTCTCTATGCACAGGTGGGGGAATAGAGGTGCCTGTACCCAGGGGCAGCGGCCGATCTTGGTGACAGGGACTGGGGAGAGACAGGCTTCATTACTCGGGCCCTTTCTGCCCTCTTCCAACAGACTCATGGCTGCCTCCCTGTCCGGGACCTCGGAAACCCCACTTTGGAAAGCTGAACCTGGGGCAGGGGGACTGAAGTCACATGTGTCTGAGGCCTTTGTCTTATTGGTCTTGGAGCACCCCCTTGCCCCCCACACACTTGTGGCATCCCAGGGTCCTCAGAGACCCGTTGGGGTGGCCTGTTCAGGGCACAGGAGTCTGTGGCAGATGGACGGGACTTGCTATGTGAAGTTGCGGGTATATGGGCTCCCAGAAGCCTGCACGCAGCCCAGGGTGGCCCCAGCAGCCTCACCAATGATGGGGGGTCTGCAGGAGGGGCCGCAGGCACTGGGGCAGCACATGGTATTGCCTGGGCAATCTTCGTCGTTGTGACAATTTGGGGTGCAGTTCGTCTCCTCAGAGGATGTAGGCTCAGGACACATGGCCTGCACTGTGCACAGGACGGGTTGCACACGTTAGTGGGCACTCGCTATCAGAGGACGGTAAGGACGGAACGGGGAGTCCAGCCTCAGCAGCCACTTCTCAGGAGGAAGGCAGACCATGAGCCCAGAACGCAAGCAAATGGAGCCAGCTGTGCAAGGTCATGGGCATGCTGTGGAGGTGGACAGCCATTCCCTGGCCAGAGGCGATCACCTTGGCCCTGCAGCTCCTGGCCTCCCTGGTGTGGGAACAAGGCTGTGACTGCTATCCTGGACCCCCTGCCAAGGGATGAGCCTCCTCCGTTGTTCTGCCCCCAAACCACCAGGGCTGGGAGCCTGGAGTGGAGTCTGGTCAGACAAATGGACAAGGGATGTAGGTGGGGGGCTGCTGAATGTGTCTCGGAGAGAAGAGGGCAGCTGGGCCTACCTGGAGCCTTGAATTCAGGGGTCAGGGCGAGGGCTGCCTCCAGGGCGAGCAGGCCCAGGGCCAGGATAATAAGACAGCGCATGGTAGCAGGCGGCAGGTGGCAGGTGGACGCTGGGCAGCAGGCAGGTGTCGGATGGTGTTCTGGGGCCCTGGGATGCTTATAAAGTTTGGGGCCGGGGGAGGAGCCTGGGAGCTGACTGAGCTGGCGAGGTGCCAACTAGGCCATGCTGCTTCCTCCTAGGGTGTGTGGGGAGGCTGTGCCAGGTTAGGGGGTCACGGTTCCAAACGGAGCAACAATAGCAACAAACAGTCCCCAGCAAGGGTGCCCTTTCTTTCCGTGTTGAACGTAGTGTTAGGAGACTTGAGGGAGATTCAGGGTAGGAGGAGGAGGGAGGAACCCAGCCGTTGTGCCCTGTGTGGCATAGCCTTCCCTTCCAGGGTGCCTGGAGCAGCCCAGGGGGCAGAGAGCAGGTTCAGGGCTGTCCTGGTGAGGAGGCTCTGCTGCTATTGCTTGCTATCCATGGAGGAGGCAGGCATGAGAGCGGGGTGAAGTCCTCTTCGAGAAGGGCCCTTCGGTGCCACAGAGCGAGGGTGGCCACATTCCTGGCCAGCTGTGGACCCTTGAATGTGGGCACAGAGCTGTGCTGTGAGGAGGCCCGGTGCCACATGCACGCCTGCCTGCATGAAAGCACCCTCTGCGTCTCAAGGCATGGGGACTGCTGTGTGGGCTCCTGAGCAATGGAGCTGCAGAGAGCTACCTAGGGACATGCTTGGCTCCAAGTCTGTAAAATGTCTCCTGGGGCTGTCCCGCTTCCTGGGAGCGAGGTCACCAGAGTAGAGGGGGCCCGTGGCATGGCCGTCGTCCCCACTGGTGGAGCCTGGCTGCTCCTGCCCACCTGAGCCGTGCATTGTTGGGCTGGGCAATCCCACTCCTTCTCACTGAGATGCTGGGTGCCAAGTCAGAGCAGACCACACCCGGCACACAGCCTCACCTAGACCCCTTTTCTGTGGCACCTACCAGATCCTCAGGTGCTCCTTGCAGCAGCTCCCATCGCTGCTCACAGGTACAGTTTTGGGGCTCCATGTTCAACAAAGAGGAAAAAGTATGCACAAAGGAACTAAAATATAGAGGATTTCCCTCTGCCCTTTCTTTCGTCTCTGGACGTCACACTTGTCATGGTGCCTTTTTACAATGAATTAACCTCAGTAAATGGAAACGAAAATTTCACATCACTCATTTGACATGAGTCTTGGGGGCTGGTGTGGCACAGTGGGATAAGCTGGCATCCCATGTTGGAGGGCTGGTTCGAGTCCTGGCTGCTCTGCTTCTGTTCCAACTGCCGCCTGATGCACCTGGGAAAACTGCAGGGGCTGGTGCCAGGTGTTGGGCTCCTACCACTCTCGTGGCAGGCCTGGATGGAGCCCCTGCTCTGGCCTGGCCCAACTCTGGGTGTTGTGTGCATCCAGGGAGTAAGTGCACCTGGAAGATTCCCTCCACCCCTACCCCTTCCCGCTCTGTCACTCTGTTTTAACTAAGCGAATTGATCATCAAAAGTGAACTAAAACTTGTGCCTTATCAGGTCATTCACATTGCACAGTGCCAGAGTAAATGCAAACCCAAGAGCATATGTTTAACTTGAGAATTTTGGTTCTAATTGACGAGTGACAATCACACATATATAAAACCCAAGAGCTTCCAGCTCCTGTACAGATGGGGCGAGGGGTGTGGGCTGGGCTTGTGCCTTGCAGGGGCACATGTGTGGGGCAGTGCAGATGGGCACAGAACCAGCCCAACTTGTTTCCTTCCACTTATTCCCCCCATTTCTTCCGTCTTATTGTTGGACTTGGTCTTGTTCTGAGGAGTCCGTTTCCTCTTAAGCAGCTTCTTGCACTCAATGACCCATTTGTCTGCTTGCTTCAGATGGGACTCCCCTTACCCTCTGTAAAGACACTGAGCCCAGCGACATGGCCACCCCGGGGGTTGGCTTCGTGTCCCACGGTCACTCGTTTCTGGTGGACTTTCACAGCAGTGAGGAAGCAAAGCTGTGTTGTTTCTTTTTATGTCAAGGCACATTTTGCCCCCAGGATGCCCAGGTCAGGGTTGGTAGGACTCGTCCCAAGTAGGGAGAGCCACGGCCTCTTCTGTCCAACCCCAGGGCACTTCTGTTCCCCAGAGAAATGCCTCCTCTTCACGAGCAGCCACTGCCTACTTCCTTTGCCCTCAGCCCCTGGCGACCCACAGTCCAGGGACTCGCCGATTCCCAGCACCCGTTGTAAACAGAATTACACCTCACCCCAGTGTGTGGGTTCACCCTCTTCCTTGGCTGGCACACGCTGTGGGCACATTCACCTGCTGAAGGGTGGGATGGTGTCCAAGCCCCTGGGGACGTGTGGCGGCCCCTCCCTCTGCTCATCTGCACACTCGCTTTGTGCGGACAGTGGCCCTCCCCTTTCTGTGCAGCTGCTGCTGGGGACGGGCAGGCCGTTGCTCCTTGGTGGCCCAAGGTTTCCAGAAGCCATGGTTCTCAGAAAGCCTCTGTGTCCTGCTGTGACTCAGAGCCTTGTCCAGCCGGGACTCCCTGCGACCCCTCAAGCCCCTGGGTGCATATGCGGGGCATGCATGTGTGGTGGCTCTCTGGGCATGCTCTGTCCTCCACACACGTACACGTGCTTGTGGGGACTGTGTAGCAGAGTGGGCAGGCCTGCTTAGGCCCACGTGGTTGCACACTCATCGGTGGCATGAAGCCCCTCACGCTTTGTCAGCAGCCGCCCTTTGGATGCCAGCCTGAACCTCAAGTACAGCGCCAGGCCTGTGAGGCTGCCACTGCACGTGCTGGTCCTCACATCTCGGAGGTGTGAACACTCCCTTGGCCTCCTCTCTCCTCTACTGCTGTCATCACTCCATGGACGTCTGGGGACAGGTGTTTGGAGAAGTGACACTGTCACATTTTAGAGGAGTGCTTGGGTGCCAGTCCCGGCTCTGCCTCAGCTTCCTGTGGTGTACCCTGGGAGACAGCAGTGGGGTGTCAGGCTCTGGTCCCTGTCGCCAGGTGGACACCCCATGGGCCCAGCTGCAGCTGTTGTGGGTGTCTGGGGACTGAGCTGGCGCCTGGGTGCTGTTGGTCTTTGCCCGTACAGATTTATTTCTGAAAAGGAAAATTCTCCTTCCTGTAAAACGACTGCTATTCTGTGCGTAGGGTTGTGTCCCTGGCGCTCCAGTTGGCCTGGTATCTCTCTGGCCAGCATCCGGCCCAGTGCCCACTTCAATGCCCTGCATAGCCCAACTCCTCTCTCTCCTGATGCCTTGTGCTACTGTCTTGGGTTTTCTGCTCCAGTGGCCCTCTCAGGCTGCTGCCCAGGAAGAGAGCTGTGGTGCCAGCCACTGCTGCAGCCCCCTTAACTGCTTGTCTGATCACTGTGGACCCTATTAGCTTGTTGATTATCTTGTCTGCTGTCCATTTCTGCAGGAGGCAGGACCTGGCAGCCAGGATACCCCTACTGCTCATCCCTCTTGCTGATCATGAAATCTGGTCTCTGGAAACTCTTTGGTCTGTGGGTGCTCACGGGTGGGCAGGAGGGGACAGGCGGGAGAGGGCAGGGAGGGCGAGGCCAGAGGATGGCATCATGCGCCCTTCTGCATGGTTCTCCTTGCTCTGTCCAACACAAACTTTCCACCTGCACTGGACCCTACCCTTGCCCGTTCTGGTCAAGGTGTCCCAGTACTCAAGGGTGGAGCCCAGGAGGGCCTTGAGGACCTCAGGCCAAGTGGCTGGAAGGAGGGCGAGTGGCGGGACCTCCAGCAGGTCCCGCCTCCCACCTCCAGGAAGGGTGCACGTGCTATTGGCTGACTTTGGAGCCTGGTCAGTGTCCTGGATGGAGCTGTTTCTTGGGAGTCTGCATGATGTCTGGTGTGTACCTGTCCCACGGCATCCAAAGGCTGTTGGGTGGCCCCCATGGGATGGGCCACAGCCATGAAGGGGCCTTGGGGTCTGGCAACTTCCTGCAGGCTGCAGTCCATATATACGTTTTTTTCCTGATTGGGAAAATGAGGCACATGTGTTGCAGGGGATGTGGCTGCCCCACAAAGAAGGCCACATCCTAGGGACAGCTGAGGTCGTGCCAGCTTATCACCACATGTTGCCCACTGTGTGGGCCTCTGCCATGGGCATGCAGCACCTCCCTCATGGATGGGGCATAGGCAGCCTTGAGTGGATGGTGGGGTTGTGGTCCCCGCATGTCCCTCTTGGGAGCTTGCCCTCACCTCCTGGACTTTCAAAAGCACTGTGGGCACTGATCGGAAGAGTCACTCCACTGTGGTCCACGCTGTTGTAACCACGTCCCCTCTAGGCTGCCACATGAGCCTTGCCCAAAGAGCCCCCTGCCCTGTCTGCCCAGAGGTGCCTGGCCCCAGGACCCAGGGGCTGCACAGTAACCAGGAAGGGATACACATGCTCTGTACGACTGGGGGGCAGGGGCGGGCCTCTTGTGCTGGCGGGACAAGATGTTCAGGGCAGGTGCATGGCTCTGCTCAGAGCCCCGGGCGAGGTGAAGATGCCAGAGGTTCCAGGAATGAGTACATGCCTTGGGCTCCCCAGCCCCCGTGGGGCCTTGGGGTTCAGCTTCCGCCCTGGGGCATGTTCCTTGGCCCCTCAAGGCCCTGCCTACGGCCCCTCTTCTTCCCAGATGTCCTGATTCCTCCCCATCCTGGTAGCTTTGTGTGCCAGAATAGATGGGGCCGTGAGACTGACCCAGACCTGGGGGCCTCTGGACTACACTGGCCCGCTTCGTCCTGTGGGTTGGCTGGGAGGACCAATTGGATTGCTTCCCATCTTAGCCCTGTTTTTTGGTGATTGCTGTGGCTTTGTGACATGTCATGACCCTGGGTGTGTGTTGGGGGGTCTGACCCTTAGCCCCTCACCCTGTCCCTGGGCACATTGGCTGTACCTGCTTTGGGGCTCTGGGGGAGGCTGCTGCCAATCCCGAGACCTTCACCTCTGTCACCTGCAGTGTGGGTTGGATGTCCCAGCAGGGAGATGGCTGGAACAGATGGGCTAATGCTGGCCTGTGTCCTGGGGTGCAGGTGCATGAGGGTTTAGGACGCAGGGTGCATGTGGATGAGATATGGCGTT